ATTCTGTTTTAAGAAGAACTCTGTAAATTGGAGTGAAGAGAGACTTGAAATCTGCCACCAAATGGCGTGACCTTTCCCTGGGCAGCATTAGCTTTGTTTGCTTTTTCCTGTGCTGTCTCTGTGCTCAGCATCAACTCATGGACTGCCTCTTCTCTTTCAAATCACTTTATCAGTTTCTGTCATGAAAGAGGAATCTGTCAGAGAAGGTGAAAGATGATATCTGCCTATGCACTGAGGACAACAGATTGAAAAAGCAAACCTATGCTAAATGCATAAAAAGGTGTAATTCCTTTCTTGTTCTGTTTTTATAAGGACTGACACTTCCAAATCTTAGCTCTGCAGGATGGAGACTGTCTATCGCTGTATTTACACAGCAGCTAATTAATCTCTGGCCTGATCCTGGTCTTGACTTCTGGCCTCTACCAGAATTAGATTATCATAATAACAGCAATTAGAATGTTCTCTTTCTAACATATTGGATAGCTTCGGACATTTTGTCTGACCTATTCAATAGCTAGAGATATAAAAGATCTGAAAAAGACATTTCTGAGGTCACTGAATGAAAAAGATATTTTTGTAATTATGTGTCTTATTTCAGCTCATTACTCTCCATCATCTTTTAACCTTTGCATCTTCATACTTGGAAATGACAAGATTTCTTACCATATGAAGTCAGTAACAAATCACTTGCACTGCTGGTGAAATTCTTTCTGTTTGTACCATAAATACAGAATAATTTGAGGACCAAACAGTACAAAAATACTAATATCCTACAAACTCAAATGCCAAACAGCAATATATAAACTATCATGCAAATCACTGTTGCTTCACTAATAACCCACAAAAAAAAGAAGGTCCAAATCTAATGGAGTCAGTTTTCAAAGAGAAACATGTGATACCTTCTCCATGTGAAATCTATGCATGAAAATAATCTCAAGCTCCTTAGATCAGAAAAAAATTAGAACTGGCGTGGACTTAATTTATTAAAGTTTGCATAAAACTTCTAATACTATGAGAAAGCTAGACTTTGTTATTAATTTAAAATGGAAGAAAATCTAGAGTGAAATGATGACCTCAATACCAGATTTCCATACGGTTTCATTTGCAAGGAAGGCATGTCAGCTTGGCACAGTGTAGCCCTGGTCTCAGCAGCTGTGGAGACTTGAACTGTGCTTTGGGTTGTCCTTTCTCCCTCACCCCAAAAGCGAGCTGTTTCCTCTGACAGCAGCCATCTACCCTGTCACGTGCAAATACGCTGCCTTGGTATTCCTAGAGACAGGCAGCCGCTGTACTCTGCTCTAGCAAAAGGCTGCTGCGGTGGAAGCTGCTGTTCCCTGTCTTCTCCATGTCATGAGAGCCGCCTCCTCACTAGACTGTCCTGGGCAAGAATCACAGGAGAAGACAGGCAGAGGGGTGTAAGGAGTGCTGGAGCCTGGCTCTCAGGGCCTGTGGGCTCCTATTGCAAAGGCAGCAGCTCTCCCCAGCAGCAGCGGCAGCTCCACACGTCCCCGAGCAGACACAGGAGGCATTCAGCTGTACGGGGAGAGGACGTACCTGGAACAGCCATTCTGAACTGCTCTCAGGGAAAAGGAATGTAACCGGATGTTCCAGTATCAGTCTTCTGTCAGAGAATGGAGTTATGACACACTCACTTCCTGAATTTAAGCTGATGGGAGTGGCTGGATATATTTGGGAATGTATTAGATGGGAAAAAGCAGAAACAGGATCTTGGACGAACTAATTTAATTTTTTATCACACAGGCAATACTTTTGCAAATGACGTTGGACTATATTGTTGCTTCTTGATTGGATGCAGAAAGGAATCAACTTTAAAACACAAAAGATGCTGCTTCAGGAGATTAATACGAAATTGAATCAGGCAAAGATTGCAATCACAGCCCTGGACACTGCAGATGAACAGACGGTAGCCTATGTTAATAGCTTGGAAGGCGAGACTGGCACAGCAGAATGCAATGCATTATAATGAGCTCGGTTAAAACCATGAGGATCGAGTGTGACCATACTTAAGAGCTTGCTCCTCATCTTGGAGAACCTGAAGCAAAAAAATTTATTGCCAGTAACAACTGGAGAATCAAACTCAGTTTGCAGAATATCCATGGAATTAATGATTTTAAAAAAAAGCAAAGCTGGAGAGAGAAACAGCATGCTGATCAATATTTTGTGATTAGATTTATTGAGGTTCCTGTTTAGGAGTGAAACTATAGAAGGTGAAATTATGTATATTTACAATAATTTATAATTAATTTAAATTTATTTTAATTATTTTTCAAACACATGAACCATTTCACTACCGATTCTGGGAGTGACTTAGAATTTCTAACAACAAAAATGGCATTTACTCTCCTCAGAAAGACAGTATTCACAGCAACACAGAGATAAGACCATGCACAGGGACTGGTTTGGAATGGGCAGAGAAAGTCAAGTGCCTCCTAATAAGTCCTCTATAGCTCTCTGTAGAACTAGGTTATTAATGTTAATATTTGTTTTAAAGTCCTGATCCACCCCGACCGTCCACTCTTCATATAGTGTATAATTAACTCTTCGCCAAGAGTTCTTCCTGCTCTGCTCTTTACCGCCAAGAAACAAACCATGGCTTGATCTGAAGCTGCCTTTTGAGTGATCAGTACGCTCTACTTAGCAAATAGAGTGAATGATCTTTCGTGAATTATCTTTCATGATTTATATTGTTGCAGTAGGGAATGTTCATAGCTCAGTGGTTAAAACACTACAAGCACTGGAGTGCTCAGGGATGTTTGTGTGCAGAGTATAACTATATATTCAACGTTACAAAAGCATGACAATATAATGGCTATTAGAAATTCTTATTAATCCATGCTAGCTCTCTATAAGTGCAATCACAACATCGAGCTGCTGAACAGCCATCTTCAGATACCTGTTCCCGATTTACAGCCTCTCCAGATACAAGGTTGTTCTCACTGATGAAACCAGGAATCTGTTCTAACCCAGAACAGTGTCTTTCATTTGGTCCTCATGCCTCTCAGCTCTTGGTATCTTTTGACTTCATTGATCACCCTCAAAGGATGATCGCCTGCCTGACATTAGCTTTCTCAAACTTGTACCTTTGATTCATTCTGACATGACTACAGAACATCACCTTCAAATAATAGTTTGAACATCTCCTACCCACATCTTTGATTTGATTTCTCATGTCCTCTGTTGTCATTCTACACATTATAATCGCTGCTCCTGTAATTAATTCCTTCCTTTGTTTCTTCCTTTTTCTTCTGCTGTGCTTAGTGTGCAAATTCCACATCCAGATAATATAATTAACAAAATAAAGTAACACAACAGCAGATGAACAAAAGAATTCTGCCATTAATAGCCATTCTAGTTACTTGTCTTTTCTCTCATTTTCTTTATCATCGTAAAAATTTACAGTATCATCAAAGTACTACCATGCTGATACTATCACATTAGACATTCTGGAGGAAATAATATAGAAATTAATCTTCAAATATTCCTTTTTTTATCCTTTATGCCGCTTGAGCTGCATTGTTTTTTTTAAATCCAAACTGACACTTATTTTCACCACTGACAGACTTCTCTATAGTTAGTAGCAGGCTTGACTGCAGACAGTGGGAGTTTTGCTTACCTAAAAATCACAAATAGATATTCCTGCTACTGTGGAAGTGAAAAAAAAAAATTAGCTAGCACTATAAATCCTTTCTTGCTCTAAATAACAACTTTTTATAACAAGATGAGAAAAAATTTGTTTTGTTTTTATAATACCTGTCACATTATGTTGGGGTTAACCATGAGATTATAAACTGCACTGACTGCTTTACAGTTGCTTTCTGACATACTTTTTCTTTACTTTTTATTTATTTTAACTTTTTTTTTTCCTTCTGGAAAGAAACTCTGTAAAGATTGTACATTTACAAGACCAATAGAATGCATTTTATTATGTATCTTTCAATGCTAAAAACTAGTTTACTGATCAAATTCAGATTTGATCCATTTAGTTTCCAATTCATCTTAGCTACACTCTTGATGGAAACTAAGATCCTCTTGTATTTCTCTCGCATTTAATCCTGAAATCTGCTTAATAGGTAAAGAAAATTAGTGAAGTTCAGCTAATGCCATTAGTTTTTTGTTCTGCAAAAATAAATACTAGTTAGGGAGACTTTGATGAACTTATTTTCACGAGGCACGATTTTAATAATGTTCTAGAAGTCTGTGTGAATACATGTATATGGACCACCAATATTTCTACCATTAATTAAGACTATTTTCTTAATTCCTTCTCATCAATATTTTTTAAAAAGATTCATGCAGGTATTTTCACTTGGTTTTCTGCAATAACAGTATTTTAATGGGTGTGTTTGAAACCATTAGTTGGAGATTACCTGCTACAGAAAAAAAAAGTATATTTTTTCCTATGGTTAACCACAGTGCTATCTTAAACAATAAAAAGAATCTGCATTTGATTCTGCTGGAAATAGAATGAATACAACCTGCCTTTTAAACACAAAAAGGCTTAATTATCTGTGTTTTCTCCATAACTTAATTCTGTAAACGTTTCCTATGGGCAAGTTATCAATTTTCATCTAGTAAGAAAATACGGAATGCCTACAATGCTCTCTAGCAAGCATACTCGTGGTTCTTTGGACACTGATTTAGGTGATACAAAACAGCATTTCAGGTTACACTTCTTTTGTTGATTTTGTCCGATTTAGGTAATACAGAACAGCATTTCAGGTTACACTTCTTTTGTTTCTGTCTTCCACAGATAATATAGTTGCAGTGCAATGATTTCCTTCCCTTACAATGCTCCTTTTTCACTAACCTATGAAACATCTTAAACGAGTACGTGAGAAAACCCACATAAATTGGATGCCAGGTGTGATTTGCAGTGGCAATCAGTCTTAGTGAACTCTCTAGTGTAATTAATAGTTTGTTCTAATTACCTTCCAGAGCATATTTCATGTCCTGGGCAAGCAGAGTCCACATGATTTCTGCACTGATTTTTCCCATGTTCAGCTCTTGAGGAAACCTGCAATCAATCAGAGTACATCAGTTCACCTGCTGCTAGAAATTATCCTTACAGCTGCACAGAAAAGGAAAATATTTGCACAAAACAATCCCCCTAGTATGCACTTACTGTATTTTGTGTTTTGTACAATTATATGAACCATCCATTCTTCAAATAAAAACTTTCCTTAGTCTAATGTCAGGGCCCTAAGTAATTAGTTGAATGTTGCACCAATACCCTCACATGACATTGTAACCAAGAAACATCCATCTATACTGCAGATAACTCCTCAACTTCAGATAAATCAGATGGCTTATGAAAAACCTGAAAGAGTTAGCACAGATATTTAGCAGCTACAGGTGTTCCTTAATTCCCTTGTTACACTGGAAAACAGTGAAGTTGTCTGTGAAGCTATACTGGTCTATGCTGGTTGAATACAATTCACTGTTTGAAGACTTTCACCCTGAAGTGTTGATAAAACAATAAAGAATATAAAAGGTAGACAAATGCTTGCTTTTGATTAAAACTTTCAGTTTTGGTCTTATGATTCATGTCATCTTGGAAAAATAGTCCTTTTTAGATGTTTTTTTTTCCTGTTATCAAGTATTTGTCCAAAACTTTTTCATAGATCCCATCTGCTTCTTATTCTATGTAAAAAAAAAAAAAAAAAACTTTAATCCTTCAGTCACCATCTTTGCTGTTAGTTACTAGCAAAAGCTGACATTTTAGTGACAGCCACTGCATGTTTCACATCATATTCAAAAGGGGAGCTATTTGCCTGTCCTTTTTTTTTTAAAAAAAACAAAAAAAAGAAGTCTGTCCTGGTGTGGGACTATCATTAATACGAGCAGTTCTCAGGGCACAGAAGCAGACCAAAGCTGGTCATGCAGCTAAAGAGCCTGAAGAGAGGCATTTAAAAACACCCCTGGAACGTATTAAAAAATCCCAAACTTTGAGATCTCTACAGATAAAAAAATCCCTGAGATCCAAATGACCTCCTAATTTCTTATTCAAATCAAACAATCACTTATGTATTTTTAATATAAACCCAAAAGAAATCCATTGAAATAGGCATTTTTAAACGTCAAATTATCCACAAAAGTCTCAATTATCCACTTCATTTCCATTTGACAGAGTTCTTATGCAAGTGTGGGCATACTAAAATAGATCTCAAGAAAATAAGCTAAACTCTTATAGAATTTCAAATAGGCAAAATTTTTACATACTTTGTTAAAAGTAGCACAAACAGAAGCTTCCTTCCACACGTCTTCCAAATGTGTCACAAGTGAGGTTCTTCATTCAGTTAAACCCCACAGTATCTGCCAGTAAAGCTGGTTCAGCTTCACTAATTGTGGGAGATGTAGCACCTTCCAAGCAGATGATGTTTTAGATATTTCTTATACCACATCCCAGATCTTGTGTTGATGGGCATGGAAAAAAAGTCCGTTGACCTCCGTGCTGCTGATAATGCAAGATATCTTTCTCTTTCATTCATATCTTTTCATTACTGTTAGGACTTAAGGTGCAAGCCAGTGATAGTAAATCTCATGAGACACCACGATCTGCATCTTCAGCACTGTGTCACACAGGCGGTGACTTTGCAGGTCTTATTTAGAGGAGCAGCGTTACTGATGGCAACACAAGTGTGACTAGGGCAGGCTTAGACTGTGCTTGAAATCTAACGTCAAACATAAATCAGCATCTCTATGGTAAGTACAAATGCCAATACAAATTGGTCCTACCAGAGCAAGTAGAGAAACCAACTGTAAAATGACAAGCGTGACAGGAATGTTCCATTTACCTTCACCAGCAGGACTGTCTGTGTGAACAATGTGGGAAATGTCTGTATAATTTCCATGACTATTATGTTCATTTTTGTTGATTTGGTTGTTACGAAGAAATCTGTCATGAAGTGGCAAGCTGGTTAACCCCTGCAGAACATTTTCCAGTCTTTATTTTTCTAGGAAAGAATGCTTCTAGTGGCTTACCATCTGCCAGGAGTTACTGGACAATATTGGCAATTTGCACAGTATACTTCTAGTCTCTGTTGCTTGCTGGGTGGTTCATACCTTATCTAAGGGGAAAGCTGAAAACTGTGTCGTGTCTACTTAACAATTTATATTAACATACCTGTTTTTAATGTCACTAACTTTTGCTATGTATTTTAAACAATCTGCTCCATTGTTATAATACCATTTATGGGTTTGGTTAAGAATCTAAGGGTGCACGCACAACTTGAGACTGCAGAACACTGAAGACTTTTTGTATTTATGTACTATATACAAGTGTGAGCCCTTTTTCCTGTGGTGAAGTGTAATTGTTATGGCTATGGTGTGCACCACGCCTGCCACAATTTTCCTCATAGATGGCTTTATGCATGAGTAGTCATGTTTAATGTGGTTACTCATGTTTCTAAGACTACTCATGTAATAATAATATAGAATTTATTATTTGCAGTATAGTAGCACTTAGAGGCTTCTAGTAGGTTTAAGAAATACCTATCCAGGAACTTTCTAAAACTCATGCCAGTTTCCATATGTACAACAATCAGCCTGATGGGTATTACGCAGCTGTCATAGTTATGGGTATTATGTGAGCAGCTAACAAAGCTTAACACACAACAGAAGCATACAAAATTTTCCATGCACTAAAGATAAGTGGTAACAGCAACAGACTTATTAAAGGAAGTGATAATGAAAGGTCCAATTCTAAAGCACCTATGTAAGTAAGGAATTTTTTTCATCATTTGTATTTTATCACTTTATTTTTAGGTAAAAAGACTACTCTTCTGCAAACTATTTCAGAATTCAGTCCCTAAGCAGGAAAATATTGGAGAAATTTGTCACGCAAACCTTTGTAAAAGCCAGACATTTTGAGTGAAGCAAGAGGATGATTAGGAGAGTGCTCTATTAGTCACTTTGTTTCCTCTTGCTACAATTATTTCTGTCTGATAGGCCATAATTTTCCCAATTTCTCTGTCATTCTTAGAGCAATCCAATAAAATCTCAGTTTATCCAAAACATTGCTATTAAAATCACATTCCTCACTTGCATGACAGTCTCTAATCCTCAACCCATATGTCAACCACACAATACTATTTGGTGAAACTTCTTAATAAACAGAACATGCAAGGTTTTTGTGGAAAATAAATTAACCATTAGGTTGCCCGTACCTGATAATTTCCATGTATTTCCAAAAATACTAAATTGCATATAAAAGGTAGCCACTTATGAAAGTCTCTCTATTGATTTTAATTAAGCAAAAATTTAATGAAAACTGTTTAAATTGGCCACTTTTAACAAAGTGCTATGTCTAAAATCACAGATCAATGGAATGACATTGAACTCATCTTGAAAGAAAATGAGAACAATCAATGTATGAAGCAAAACATAAATAAATCTAAAAGCATTTATCCTAGATAGTACTGCATGTCTCTAGTTCAATCCTAAACTAAAAAATTCCCATAATGACAATTAAAAATGTTTTTTCTTAATTTGTACAGTCAAATCTGCAGTCTGCTACATTTTAAGACTATTGAAGTCCCTGAACCTCAGAAGCACATTCCCAGAATAGCTCATTTTCCATACTTGGTGGGTTCAGTCTCATTCAGATGCTAAAAAGAGTGTGGTCCTGGTGTATGAATACACTCATTTTTGGGCTGCGCATGCAGCAACAGGTGATTGCACTACCTGTGGAGTGCTGGGCACGGTCACTGCTTCACTAATTCTTAAGACAAAAGTTCTGAGTTTAGAAAATATATATTCTGGTTAAACCAGGAGCAAAGAGTTCATTTATTGTCACTTTTTATGCTCTATCTTCCAACTATCCAAAGTTTTTATTTTTAACCAAAGCAATTGTTCCTTTTCCTGAAGAAAAAAGATAACGGACAAAAGAGATACCTTATACAGTCTATATAACTGATCTGGTCTTAAAGTGTACAATACATTGCTACACGAGAGAAGAACAGTGGGTCTTGTGAAAGAACAGAATACCACTTTGTTAAACAGGATAACGCTCACAAATTCAATAAAATAAGTGATATTTATATGCTTCCATAGAAAAAAGTGTAATTGGTAATTGGGAATACCACCGAATCAAGACACCAAACACATCAGATACACTTTCCATTATCAAAGAAACATTTTAGAGTTAACCTGACATAGTCTAATTCATGGTATAGTTTATCTGATTGTTTTAACTTCCTTCCATGCTCTTGGTTTTTAGTTGTTTGGGTTTGTTTTTTTTCTGCACTCATGTATATTTCATAACTCACCCATAGGTTACAGTTATGCTGTTTCTTCAATATTAGTTACTGTCCTTGACTTCACGGATTTATTAAACATTCTGGCTCCTGAAGAATCAGGAAATCTGCTGCAGCAGATTTCATGTGCCAATTCTTTCCACACTGTGGAATGGGGAGGGAGTGTGCAAGGATTGCTTTTACAGCACTTCTGGTAATTGCCATTTCCAAACACTCACAGTATCATTTGCCGTTCTGCATCGGCACCAGCATTCTTCAGTTAGGTTCCTTGTCCTGTGTTATACTCCTCTCATGCTGTGTTATACTTCTTTAATTTCTGAATGTCTAGATCATATTTCAACTAAATACCCATGTTCACTGCAAATAGAACTCAGTGCCATTGTATTCATTTTTTTCTTTTCTCTCTTTTATTTCCTTTTGCAATGCTTAATCTATCTTGACTTTTTGAAGTTTAAGCTAATACTTTCTGACTTCCAAAATTTAACTTTGCTAATCATATCACTTTTTTTCCATCTCTTGTAGGCTCTGGTTTTCACCCTATCATTATTTATGAGTTAGTTGTTCACTATGTCTTCTTTAAGAACGTAGTGCTGACACTGCTCCAAGTTCTTATCTCTAATTGCAATTTCAAGTTCCTAACAGATTTTGCAAAACTGTTTCACATTTGAGTATTTTCACTAAGTATCTTTGATCCGCTCTTCTGAAACACCACTTATGCTTTCTTCACCCAAGTAATGAATGGTATCACTTCTTGGTTCTTCAGTGATTCAGATAATTTTGTGGGTATCTGACCCTGGTAATCGCAGACAACATTAATAGCATTTGTTCTTCAATGGTAGCTACAATTTTTATTTTCCTTTCAAAATGTGATTTTTAGCTATTTAGATAGAGATGAAAAATTTCAAGGCCTAGCTAAGCCAGTACTTCAATATGCTCTGCAGGAGTCATTAAAACACAGTACTAAAAAATACTATAGCAGAACATAAGATTATGAAACACAGTGTTCACAGAGGAAAGAAAACAGATCCTTTCATTGCAAAGATGCAAGGATCAGTAAAAAACAAATTTAAAAGTCCCCCCAGAGCTGTCATGTTTCTTGAGTTTGTATTACACCACACATGACTATTCTGAGTACACAAGCTATACAACTAAATGGAAAGCTTTTTGCTCAAGATGTGCAGAAGCACAAAGTTTAGATCTTGATCTCCAAATGCATAAGCATATTTCAGTTCAAGATTTTGTTCTTGATTTGTTGTTCTTTTAATTGAACGGATATTTTGTTTTGATAGCAATCTCTGCTGCCTCGCAGTGTGTACAATGCATATTTGACAAGTGCCGGGAAGTCCTAGATTTGCTTGGGTATGAGGTTCCAACCACATTTTACATTGTTATAACTAGTAAAATGAGAATTTTACAACTTAAAAACCAGATTTCATGTTTTTCTCTCAAACTTGTCAAGTATCTTATGTCATATAAGATCTGTAGGTTGCCCACATAACTCCCACTGCATGGTCCGGTACAGTCTTCAGTCGCTGCAATGCTCGCTGAGGCAATCATGTCCGTGTTTCATCTGGATTCATCATCTGATACAGTTCAAACTGCTCTATCACAGCATCTTTTTTTGCCTCCAAGGCAGATATAAAAATAGGGTTTCCAAAACTGGTTGAGGAGAAAAATTCTGAGGAATATCATACCAATGTGAAAACTCCTATCAGAATGCTTGGAGCTCTCTTGGGGGTCTTCAGTAACGTCATTTCTACACCAGGATTCAAATGGATGTAGGCTTGAATATTCCACTGGGACACTGCATGGCCATGTATTTCTGATAAGGAGTAATAGTTTTGCAATATTCTTATGCATTCAGCTTATATTTTCCTTTCATCCGTTTTCTTTTCTGAGGTAAGGGGCAAAAGGCTATCTGACTTTTTTCCAACAGTTTTTACATGCTGCTTTTGTGTTAAAAGAAGCTTTTCTTTTAAAAACATGTATCTAAAGGAACTCTGAACAGTTTTTCAAGTTTTCCCACCCACAGCCTCTTCATCTCTTGCTCCTAATGTCTCCTATTTCTCAAAGACACTTTATTCCCTGTGTTCACCCTTCCACTTCCAAAACGACAGTGAAAATGGGAGAGAAGTCACTCACGCATACTCTCTCCCTTAATCTGTCCCAACTCTGTCCACTCCTGATTCTCTTTTCACATCTTACACAATCACTCAGCTGTACTTTAGGGAATCTCCTAATCCCCTCAGAGGAATTCTGTTTTTATTCTTTTCCTTTCTCCCTCACATTCGCATAAGAATATAGCTAGAACAATTTTTAGGATAATTAACCACCAATCACCCTTGTTTAATTTCAATGAAAAGACTTAAATGAAACGCATGTATGTATTTGTTCCAGGTAGATGTCTTATAATAAGTATATTTGTTATACAAACACTCAGACAAAAATTGAGCTTCTATTAATAGAGGACCTTCACACTAAGTTGTACAAATGGAGTAAACAGGAAGAGTTTTCTTTCCTCTGCAGGGTAAGAACTTTTTTCTTAATAAGGTCAGTGCAGGAAATGATTAAACAAGGAGATATTAATTATCCAGGACTGAAACCATGCTTCATTTATTTAAAGGAAAGGAAGGAATCAGAAGGCAATGAAGTATCTTCCAACTTCTGGTTATTACCAGGAGGTTTCCTTGGTAAATATACTGTGGGTCCATAAAAAGTATGATACCTTTTATCAACAGACAAGCACATCTCCACATGCAGTAACTACCCTATTTTGGCCAAAAGAAACAGACTTGTTCTTGCTCGCCTTCAGACCATTCCATTCATTTCCACTGCAGACACCTCTATTGCTTAGTCATAGTACAGACGTAAATTTCCATTTTAACTTTTGCACAAGTCATCACGGCTAGAGTATGCCCAGATTTCCTACAATCTCTCTGTAAAATAGCCCCAAAGAGCTAAAAGAGCTAACATTTTTCCCTAGGGCCTCATCATGTCACATTTCAATTAGCATGACATCTGTTTCTCCAGCCTTTATATGTGAAATATGTCCCTTTGCACTCCTTCTGTATATTTCATTTTCAATACCCAGCTCTCTATCTCCTCTTTCTGTGTTTATCGATTGGTTCTCTCTTCTCTACTAGTGCACCAACCATAAGTTATTTAACTTGTCTTGGTTATTGATCGGACCTCCCTCATCTGTTACATCTTAAATTCTGAGAAGTCAACTTCTATCTCTGGTAAGTCCAGGATATTGCTCTCCATTCTATAAATTTTCAAAGTCAGTCTAGCTAGGTTTTCTCTTGAGCCAATCATAAATTTGGATAGGTTCTGTGAAGTTCATTATTCTTTTACAAATACATCCCTAAGACTCTAATAGAATGCCTAAAAATTCTCAGCATGATTTTAACACCCTGTGTGCCAAGATACTATCATACCATGAATACCATCACACTATTTCACTGAACTTTTCCTTCTGTCTATCTATTTAGTTCTCTTGCATAACATTTTGCCACTTAACTTTTTGGGATGGTTCATATACCCTGTGTTTTTACTGTTCCTCAGACAAAAGGTTCTCTTTCCATGATCAGAACATTAAGTCTTTATCAAACTAAGTCAGTGTTATATTCTTTATTTTTAAAAACCTCTAGCTAGATTACATTTAAAATACAACTACTGATTCAGGTGTATTTTCTGTCCTTATTTTAATAAATCCATGATTCTTAATTTTATGGGGAAAGTAATTACTTACTGGTTCAAGACGGGTGTATACGCTGTTTTATCTTCATCTATGATGGTCACCATCAGAGTAATAAGCTGTGCCCAGAAATCCAAATTCTTTGTTGTTGGTCCCTGTTCTTCTTTAGGAACTTCTTGTTTCTTACCCTGATAAAACAAGATGGAACATATTTTACATTAGAGGAATTAGAGAAAATATTATGCGATTTCCACTGACAGATTATTACTTGGTTGGAAAGACTGATGTTAAGAATCTTCAAAAATTTTGGATAGACTGTCTATCCGACAGAGTAGATTGCATGACAGACCGTACCTGGCTGTGGACACATATCAAAAAACATTCACAGTGCAAAGACAGCCAGGTCAGCAAAGAAGATCAATAGAGACTTGATTTTTAGTGCGTGTCCACATTTGAGTGAAATACATTATAAAATTATTTGCTGTGCTGAAACTGAGTGCAGGTAAAACTGTCTGCTGAGGCAGAACTTTTATACCCTACACAATAAATACTGAACAAATCAATGATAAGGAACATTTATTGTTTTGATTTGGGTTATACACTGAAGTTATCTGGCCTAACAGATGCTATGCTGTTTGCTCTAAATGAAGAAGTGGTTAAATTTCCCTTTATCTTTTTATAGCCAAAATAAAAAATGCTATTGCCCAAAGTATTCTGCACAGAGATTTTCCAGGGACTCATAGACTGACTGGCAGAACCACAAAGTGTGTGTTTATGACAGGCAGAGGAAAACAACACAAAGTAGGAGGGGAAAAAAATCCCTGGACCTGTAAAAATACTAGGAAAACGTACATAGGAATATCCAAAAGAGAGGCTTGTGAAGGTATTGCCTTGCCAAGGATTTAAAGCTGTGAGCAAAACCAATCTGTTATTTGATCCTTTTTTTTCCAGGGAAATGGGATTTTTGTACCCTCCTTGCAAATGAAAAGGACTGCAACCAGTTTCTCATCCAAAGCAGAGACCCTGAGGTGCCCCCTTATATTTCTGTAATAAGCATGAGGAAGGACATGACACACGGATTACCAGATGGATTACCAACATGACTCTCTAGTCATTAATCAAAAGTTGGTAAGTAAAGTAGTTTTTTATTCCTCTTGACAAAAAGCCTGCCTTTCGCACCTTTTTATATAGTTATAAGTATGTATTAATATTCACTACTTACAAAATTTTATTTAGAATTTTATACTTTTTAATCTCACTAAAATGTGCATTTACAGATAGATTTTGGCTCTACAGATTTGACTTATGAATTCTTAGTCTACAGTTTCCTAGAAGTAAAAAAAAAAAGTATTTTTCAGTTCTTCACTTGGCAGAAGGATCAGATTCCTTATCAATGTCCAATAAATAACTCCATTGCAGAGATCCGAATACAAAAAGAAACATTTTTATCTCTGTATGGACACACACATACATACACACACAATTTCTGCCACACAGAGGCATGTCTGCACATATTCTGTCTCTTCTACACAGCTGTCAGAGATAGAAAGGGGTTTTTTTCACTCAACTAGTAAGTCAGAGAAAATAAACATGCCTATTATCTTGCCAGTTTAAACATACATTCCCTGTATTTCTCATCTGTAGTCCAAATATGACCACTTCAATGCACCCCCCATCCCTCTGAACAGATACAGCACTATATTAGTGTCATAGTGAATTAATTAAATGTTATCTTAACCTCAATTAACTTTTATCTAGTAACAGCATTTAGAATGGCAGAAAGGGAATTTCAACAACACTTAATTGAAATTGTTTTTGTGGTCACTGTGGCATATTTTAGAAAAGTGTCATTAATCACGCTGTTACATACTCGGCTGATCTGCAAATGCTGTGGCTTCAGTGTCTATACAACTGAAATAAAGGTGAGGCTCAGAAGCAGTTACAACAGATGGTGTAACCAGTATCACTGGCAGTTTATATCCACACATGTAAACAAGAGTGTTTTTCAAAACAGAAATGAATATTGGAGCATTAATATCACTCATGAGAGCTTTCCCTGGTGTGCACTATACTTTTATTAAAAGATCTTGTTTCTGTATCAAAGATTTATTTTTAATATACCATTTTTTCCTCAGAAGCAAGTGTATGTTTAAGCCAAACCAACAGAAAGGCAGTTGTAGAAGACAAAGCCAGTTCACATGTAGTCCAGCATTTTATCCAAGAACTATATTTCACAGAAAAAACCTGTAATGGCATGTAGCTGAGATAGCTTTTCATGACTGTGAATGCGAATCACAGAATGTGAAATTCTTTCCTTTAATATAGATAGCAAAAAGTAATCAATTTACAAAGTACTAGTTGCACAAGGACATGCTTTCTACAAAAATTGTCTGGCAGAGAAATATATTAAAAATCAGGATGATATTTTCCAAATCCCCAAAGAAGGAATTTTTAAAATAGCCTCATATTAACAGATGTAGTTTTATGCCCCGAAATGAAAGTGTGTACTCTGCCCATGCCCAGTTGTAATTTCCATTCTTTATCCTAAAATCTAACTAATGGGTTAGAAATGCTTAGAATAATTGAAGTTGTTTTTACATTAATTGTTATTATTGCTGGCATTATTATTTGTTGTATGTGGTTTCTGGCAACAGGTGCCTCCAAAGAAGCATTATAATGAGGCAAAACAAGGTTGGAAGTTTGATTACACTGATTTGCAAACTTGCTAAACTGACAGAAAAAAGTTCCATCTTGGAATAAAAATTAACTTGAAACAGAGCTATTTTCATATAAAAAAATTCAGTGATACAAAATTTGAATACACGAAACACGCATGAGGAGTAAATGGGATTGCTTGGGTACTAATGAATATCGCTGTTTGCCTGATTCAGCTTTTAAAAATGGTACGTTTTCATCAAGTTTCTCCAAGATCACACAGCTCAGGACTGCCAGAATGGGAAAGTTTTGATCATTATACTGAAGTTCACTATTACTCATTTCCTATTACTTAGAAAAGTTTACAAAGCAATCTGTCACAATCATAGGACACATAATTAGATTTAGAATAGGAATGTATTGCTAAGGATCCTAGATTCTACCTGTTCCTTTAATTAAAATATCTTTTGTCATATAAAATCTCTTTGGTTTTGATCTCAGCTGATTCCCCTGACTTATACACAAGTTATGTTCAGTGAATTTACTCAGTGGATCATAAATCTGATTGTCAGGCATTAGATGCTATGATTCATTCTTAAATTGTGTGTCTTTTTATTAATTCTTTGTCATGGAGAATGCTGTCTTTACTGCTAATAGATAGTTCTAAGCAAACTCCCACAACAGTATATTAACACTAGTTTAAGACAGGTGAAGACTTACGTGGAACTCATAAAATAGGGTGAAATCCAAACAGCAGCCAATGCCAAGAATGACTCTGGCTTCAGTGGTGATCCCCTATCTCTCAGAAAAGAAAATCCCAAAGAGCATCATAGGACTAATGTAAAATACAATTAGATCCTCACTTTGCATTGAGCATGCTAAGCTGTTTTGGATAAAATTTCAGTCAGTTTCAGAGAAAATAAGTTCTATTTATCTTGTAGAGCTACAGTAAGTTAGAGGTGCTTGCCTTGGCAAAGCTGTCTTAATTCAGTTTTGGTCATTTTAGGAATCCAGCTCAGAGATAATCTAGTGGATGCTTCTTCATGTATCTTGTAATGTACTTCGTTACAGGATATTTCATTGTATTGAGACCATCATAATTCATTTGGAAAACTAAATAATTGCAAACACTTTATAAGTAAAGTATTTTTAAAGAGAACTCATATGCACTGAAGATTTACAAACACAGGAAATACTGTGGATTCTATGGATTTTTTTAATGCAAGATCCAAACTAGGTGGCTTATAACTGTTTGTCTTTTGCCAAAGAAAACATCAAAATCAGAAAGAGGAATTTTTCATATATGATATGCTATAAGTAAATTCTTTACTTGCACTAAATTATGTTTTTTCTCAATTTCCTTTTACTATCAATTTCCTAGCCACCTGGGTTCACATGCAAACAATGAATCATGTGGCACAGAGTCAGCAAAACCAGTTGCTGTAATTTTGATATTTTCTTAAAGGAGAAGATAAAATGTAGAGGGATTTTTCTGAGTTTAAGAAAAAAAAAAGGCTAAACTATGGACAAGCAAACATATTTTGCACTCTGGAAAACTGTCTGAGAGTGGAAAAAGCAATCTCAGGCACAGTGTGAAGCAGGATTAAAATCTACATTTGTATTACCCTGAGACAAATCTGTAAATGCTGGTCTGAGGAACATAGGGCTTTCAAGTTGTCTCATCATTGGTTTTACCAGTTTGTAGGACAAAAGTCTGGGTTTATTTTGCTTTGTTTTATTTTGTTCTGTGCAATCAATACACATCTGTATGGGTGCAACTTTGATAAATCCAATTCTATGATTTCAGAAACTGATCTGCATGAAGACTATGTCCAATGCATGCCCCGAGCCAAGTTTCAGAATGTCATATTTTCTACATAAATAATGGTAGAACGGAAGCTGAATTGGAAACCAAGGCAGTAGGCCTGATTAGTGGGAGGCTACAGACTGCAATGTTATAGACCAACTTTAGATGATGAAGTATTACTTTCAACGGTACTTCTGTATTTTTCAACTGCTCAATTAATACTGTTTAATTTGGAAGAGGTTAAGAATCATCAGGGAATATACAATAGGCATTATATATAGATAACATACACACATATAGGCATTTATCTGTATTATACATACATATTTTTTATAATTTTATATTTTTTTATACTTTTTAAAATTTTTATGTATGTAAAGAGTGAAAATTTGGCTTTACAACATTTGCTTAGAGAGGATAAAGGCAGAAACCATTTGCAGACACTCAAAATGCATTCAAAACGTGAGGGATTTCACAATTCAAATCTACTTGCTAAGGAAAGAAGAACGATGATGTTTTAGACCAGTCATGTAGAGCTCCAGCAAGGTAAATCAGAAGTTTTCTGACCCAAAGGGCAGAAGGATATTTCTCCCTAACACTGTCTCACAAGCTCTGTTTCCTAACCTAAGGACACAGCAGTCAAGACCACTCTGTCCCACGCACTTTGTCTCCTGCATATTATACTGTGACTCTGAGCTCACCGTTGCCACAGGAGAGACATCTTAAGGTTACAATAGATATCTCCATGAAAACATCAGCGCAGTGATAAAGCAGCAAAGAGAGCAAATCAACCGTGAAGTATTATCAGAACAGAGAACACAACAAAGAACAGCCTTATTTTACTTCTTCCCTCCATGGGGTGATCATAGTTTGAATGTTGTGTACAAATCTGGCCTCTCCCCTTCTCCTCATCCTGAAAATAATATAGCAGTAGTGGAAAATGCTTTCGCTACTGCCCAACTTTATTTCCCGCTTGATAATTTCGAATGTTTGGAGATCATATATCATGTTTCATGATTCAATTCTTATAGTATTTCTATAAGAAAGTAATAATCTACCAATTTTTATTGTCATTACTACTGAAGAAAAAGAGGTGCACCTTCAAAAGCAACTAACTGGCTTAGGTTCCCAAATCCCAACTGGAAAAGTGACCAGGGACTCACGGACGAGTACAGTAAAACAGAGCCAGCTCTCAAAGCACAGGCCCATCACATGCTAGTCTACAGCATCTTGTTAATACAGAAACTTTGATTCCCAAAAGCTAGGATATTATTAGTACATTATCAACCTGACCTAAGGTGCTATACCTCTAAGGAGAGATAAATCACATGGGAAGAGCACTGTGCTGTTACAGCTGTGTAACTCCCAGCTCCAGAACTCGGTAATTTGTTGCTAGCTCCTGGTCTTCTGCACCATGCTTCACTGTGACAACATACAGAGCTGAGTAACAGACAAAGAAAAGGTCTCCAAAATCAGGCAGAATTTCAACATGATTCTGTTAGGTGTCAAATATAGGGTATTGCAGTGTTTTTTTCCAGTATACTGGTGCTATCAGTCATGAAATGGTTTGTACTGATCAATCTCTTCTTCAGAGAATGGGAACAGTTTGATTTGCATTATATTGGTTTCACCCAGTGGAGAATACTGCAAAAACAATTATTGAAGGGACTTCAGTCATTGTGAGCATCAGCCAAGCTTTCATAATTTTTTGGTTTTCTTAAGAAAACAGAAACAGTGACATATTTGTAAATTGAGTCAGAAAGTCCAAGTGTTTTCCTAAACTACTTCTTCAAGGCACTATTTTTTTCAACATATGGTAGCTAGCTCTTCACTCAGATCAGTGTTAATTAAAAAGAGAAAATACTACACCTGCTGCATAAGGCATTAGGTAGTTCACCATCAGAGTGCTTTGTCTCAAAGAATGAGGACAGTAATATACGTGTCAGGAAGACTGTCGAGATGTTATGTTTTACTATCTGTAGCACTTGGGTTTTTTGTCATCAGCTGTTCTTTGTATTCTGGTATGAAACTGTAGTCTGACATTTCTGCATACCATTAGCATTTACCATACACTTCACCCCAGGAAATATTGCTGTTCCCCAGAGGCGATATTTTGCTGCAAGATATTTGCTTTATAACAGTGGTTGTCTCTCTGACACGAAGGTAGAGGGTAATAAAAAGAGGAAATGGGGATTGCTGAGCATATTTTGTGATTTCCCTGTTACTCTTCTTATAGTGATAAACTTCCTCAAACTCCATCTTAAGCACACTCAATTTCATCATTCATTGTTCTATTTTCACCCCAAAATCAGACACTTAGGCACATTCAGACATTACACGTATTTTCTAGAAGGCTGTGGCAGGCATCTGTGAGAATTTTAGGTTGTAGACGAAAGCAAATGCAGAAGGTGGTTAACGTGATTTACACACAGAGATAGTACATGTAACACGCAGGAACCTACCACCACTTCTGGCCAGATGGAAATACTACTGTTTAAGTAGACTGTCTAGGTTCCACTTTTTCATAACATCATCTGCAATATGATTCAGGCAAGAAATGAACCCTGATAAACCCCTGAGCCTGCAGTGGGCCTCGGCAGGACAACAGCTGCCGGTCCTTCCCCTGAGTAAGAGCAGGTGGTGACCTACGTATGACCTACATCCTTCTGCTCCAAAAGAAAAATTTGGAGAGATGTGTCGCTTTAAACTTGTTTCACATTCTCTACCAAACAGAAAGGCTATAATATCCCACATTTTTAAACCGTCTACTAAAATAGACAGGCTAAACTATTTTATGAATTCACAGAAAAAAGTAGTGTAAATACAGATAAGCTTTTGCAGGTATCACAGTGCTTTGCAGAAGTAAGATTACATCACTTTTTGTTTACTGAAATGGCTGCCATCTGCTGATAAACTCTGCAGACTTATGCAACACCCAGTCTAGCAACAGCTCATATTATATTTAACAGACAAGATCAAATTGTTGCCGAGTAAATGTTATCAAGAAAACAGAATAGTTTATAATGCAAATAGATGTGATATCTGAAGATGCTCCTTGTACTAATTTATACTGCAACTCAGCTTGCAATATAATCTGTTGGAGAACAAACACACACCCGAGCACTCAGAGTACGGGGTGCCTGTGGGTGCTGGTGAGAAATTCTTGCGTTCAGAGCTTGGGAGCTAGGAATACGTTTTCTCACAGAACAGGAATCCAATATTAGGAAATAAATTCTCTTTTCAGAAAAGTTGAATATATAGCATGTGCTGCCTCTCCTGAAATACAGGAATTCAATATTTTGGATTCAAGAGAAATGTGCTTTCAGATAAAATTTGATGTCTTATATCGTGTAGTATGACTGTTCTTTTCTATTATATACTACACAGCAAATGTGTATTTGCGAAACAACTTAATTTGTCCTTTTCAGGAATAGCCACTGAAATTCCATTTCTCCACTGTACCACCCAGAAGGCAAAAGTAAGGAACAAGAGGTAATGTGATAAAGCTCCTTTCAGATAGTTGTATAATTTTGCAGATACCAATTTCTTAATTTTAACATCCCTTATAGAATAAACTCTGGCCATACTATAGAAAAAGAGCAGTCTCAAGGCTTTTGCATAGCATTTGGAATACAACAAATGTTATAATTATTCTGCATTAACAGTTCAGCCTGATGGACTAATATGAAGAAATGTTATAGAACTATTCTCTGCTTTGTTTAAGCAGTTACTAGAGCTTGGATCCAAGTATGTATCAAAGGCATTAAAATATAAGGCTGGAAAGACAGTATATTATTTTCAGCAAATTATTCTTTTCTAAAGCTATTGAAGTGAAATATTATATTTTTAAAATTTCTTTTCCAATTACGGATCATAAATGTAATCAATCTAATGTCATCTTCCCTTAAGCCACTGGACATTTTTACAGGCACATCCAATGTGATGACAAATTTATGAGTCAACAGGTTCATTGTGAAACTCATCTTGTTAAACATTTCAGAATTCATAGCCATCTGTGGGTTTATTTATAATATGCTCCTTCTTACAGGAATAAAATGAAAATAACCTGAGTGCTTTGATATGAAGGAATGTTTTGTATTTGCTTACGGTAAACTAACAATAATGAACGAGCAATAGCATGAAACAAGTTCATATTGACCTTACCTGATCCACTAGCTGGGAGTAGAGATCATAGCAATTGTCAAAAATGTATCTGTAAGTTGAGTCCAGGCAGGCTCTTACACAGTCTTTCACCACAGTACTGGCTCGAGGTGGGCTCTGCAATTCAAGGACCTAATAAAATATTTAATAAATGGTAGAATGTCAGAATTAGATTGAACACAAAAAATCCAGGTGTTGCAATGAATGTAGTTCTGTAATACAGGATGAAAAGCATTGAAATATAACAGTGATAAAAATATTTAAAATTTTATTGACTTAAGGTGTTAGTTTAAAGCTGCATTAAAACACATACTTAAGCAAGTAGATTGTATCACTAAGTTTTATTTGTATGAAATTAGTCATATGAGAGAGACATATGTGCCCAAGGGTTTACAGTTTTCCATTATTTAGGGAATAATTAAACCATATCATTATGTACTTTCGTCTCAATAATATCAGCCAAATAGCTCTTCATTTTTTAAAGTAAAGGGTTCAGCTTTTTACTCCACTTTAGCATACATTAAGTTGTCTTTATATAGTGTCTAACACAGTGAAATCACATTGTTTTGTGTTTCTGTATTTTCATCCAGTAATATCAATGTGTACCATTCCATTCTAAAAATATTTCAGAACTTGATCACCTAGATATCAACATCTGGAGTGACTAAAGCAAGTAGAATTATCAGACCAATTTTGCTGTTTGACATGTGATATGATACTACTAGGAAAACATTATTCCATATGACACATGTTCCTAAGGAGTTCAACTGAGTTTGCATTAAAAGGCAACAGCATTTTTTTTTAGAGTCATTGTGCAAATAGAGGACAATACCTTCATTCGAAAAAATGTAATGCTGGTAAAACATTATTACCATTATAGTATTATTATACTATATATTATACCATTATAGTATTTTTTTTTAGAGTCATTGTGCAAATAGAGGACAATACCTTCATTCGAAAAAATGTAATGCTGGTAAGCAGGTCCACAGTTGATTTCAGATCCTGGAGTCTCTCAGAATTGCTGGCAGGAAAATTATCCTGGTGAATCAGGAGGAGAAGAGTCAAGTGAAACGAGAGTTACAGGTAAGATTCTTGAACAGCTAGGAAAAAAAACCCTCTAGAAAAACAAAGATGCTTCTTTGAAGAATTAGAAATGTTACCTGAATTCTGCCTGTGAGGAAGTCAGTGATGTGTATCCCTTTGACATGAACAGGAACACTTCTGATAATGTTCTTGTTTTTGTAGTATGAATTACTTAAAATATTGTAACATTTCCAAAACATGAATGGAGCAAAAAAATAGTACAAAAAGACTGGAAAATGTTGCTAATTAAAATAATTTATGGTTTCTCAATGGTAGACAAGCAACTTGTAAGCATAAATGCACTGGTAAATTTAATGAAGAAATACTATATGAAATTTTTGTTATAATCTCTAGGTTAACAGGAAGACTGATGGGAAGTAGTGTTATTTAAATGGCTTCATACTAATGGAACATCAGCCAAATATCGTCATGCTCCAACATTATCTGGATAACATTCTTCAAAATTAAAAAATCCTAGGGTGAATACTGCTGCATGAAGGATATAGTCTTAAAAACTGAGTATGTGCAACTTCTGCTGCCTCTGGTGCCTCGGGGTTCTTTTAAATATTTGCTTTCTCCTTCAGTTTCGGAAAGCAGGTCAGATGAACAGAGAAATTCCTGTGGTGGAGGCTGCCATTCCTAGAAGCCGGACGTAGAGCCATAGCTAATGGAGACCTAATTGCTTATGTATTATCCAAAAGTTTCACGAAACAGTGGAATAGAGAGGAGAGGGAGTTCAGAACAGTATGATAACTGGCAGGTATTCAGTGCATGTGCTTTCCTGAAAGGCTGGGTTTGGAGGATACCTCAGTGGAAAGAGCTTCTATGAGGCATAAATGAAACAAGAATCCCTATCCTGTAGAAAAATGAGGACTCAAGTCTCTTTCAACATTCCTAGGATCTTAGCACAGAAGTCGTAGCAAAGAGGTCAGCCTTCCAGAATAAATAGATCAGTAACAGCAATTTGCACTACATGCGTCAGTGAAGGTAATTCTCAAATGAATTAACTTAATCAAGTTATGGATTAATTTAACCGAAGTTGTTGAATCCTACTCTTTTTCTTGAATGTCTGTTCATCCCTTGACCCTTTCTTAGCTTTGGAAAGAAAAGAATAACTTTTTTCAAATTGGAAAAATATTGTTGTTAAACTGCTTAAATTCTGTAAGTTTTTATTCCAAAGGATTTGGGGTCTCATGTCAACACTCAATATTTTCAGCCTCTATGCCACAAGAGGGATTAAACTCTAAAATTTCTTTAAGCATATAAAGCGCACAGGGATATTTACATGAAAACACATTTGGATTTTCCTCTAGATGGAATATGTTGCACATACCCTGTATTTAGATAAATCAATCCTCAGAGAATTGTGCAGTTGATCCAGCAGTTTTATGAACTTTTCCCTCTATAAAAAGAAAACAAGAATATGTTACATAAGAATTTGCAGGTTCCTGTAATTGGCAGGTTTTTAGAAAGCCGGTTTCCATTCTTAACTTATTTGAAAAACGTATTGTTTTCCATTGCTCCATATAAAAGTGCTGGTCTGAGATATCTGTGCTTCAAGTCCAGGCAACGTCTCTTTTATCACTTTATTTTCCCTTTCAATCCTATATTGTGATTTACCTGGTATGCATTCAATACCGTGCAGCTGTGCAATGCATTACTGAGTGACATACTTTTGCAACATTTTCCTTTCTTAATGACTGATGCATTGTTAAATAACTCAAAATATCTAGAAATTGAAAAGCATTGCCTGATGTTGCTGACCAGAAATGCAATACAGCATCAATTCAGTATGAAGTCCAAAGTTTTTAGTTGTGATAGCATGGCTTATTAAAACAGATAAGCTTGCTAAATTTTTATATTTGCCTTGTAAATACTACAATGCTCATTTACAGCAGAATTTGGTGTAAAAGTATGATAGAAAATTATACTTCAGGAACAGTGGCTTTTGTAAGAAAAAGCTAAGTAATACTATGCAGTTATAGTTTTCCCTTTCAAATGTGGACATTAACTTATTATCTTGATAGATGAAGGTGCAGTGAAAACATTTTGCTGTGAGATACCCAACTGAGTTGTGCCGTTCTGAAGTAATACTAATGAGAGCTTCTAATTACCAGTGTTCATGTTAGAACATATTCCATAGTCCACTGCACACAATTGTGCAGAAATCCTTGCCAGCCTATGTGAAAACAGCCGGATTGTGGAAGCAGCAAAATCTGATAGCTCTCAGAATGCATGACTGCATCCACACCATGCCTGAAACATCATCGGCACTAATAAGAAAATAGAGTTCTTTGTGCACTCTCATCAGTGGAGCACTAACCTACACCAAAAGCCACTAATTTGGCACAGTTCCCTTCAGGGATCAATCAAAAGGGAATTTTGTCATGTTATAAATCTGTGCTGAAATATTCAGTCAGCCAAATCCATCCCAGCTGCAGCCTGAGGACTTGAATTTGAGATGTTCTTTTTGATGAATGATGTGGAGTTATCCACTAACAAACGCCTTTTGACCCAAGAGAGAAATATAATCTAATATTTTGCCTGTAAGTCACTTGTTTGATAAAAGAACTCCAAATCTCTACTAGTGATGCTTACTACTGACTTTCCATCCATCTGTTGAACTATGAATTGGATTGGAATTTGCGTCAAAGTTAAACAGGCATTAACACGAGAAAGAGGACTTAATCTCTGTCCAATCTGAGGATAAAAGTAACTCTGATCATTAGAAAAATGGGGGGAAAAAAGGAAAATCCAGCAAAAACATTCTAAATTTCAAAAGCTGGATCAAACTCAAAAGTCTAATAGAGCTTAAACATTACAAGAGTAGACTTGTTTCAATAAAGATGTGGAGTCATTCCATAATAAACCATTGATGATCTTACAAAGGAAAACCTGAATAAGAACAGAGCAATATTGTTTTTTATCATGGTAATACAATAATTAAATAATAAATATTCTGATATTGTTTTTTATCTATAAAACTTTTTACTTTACAGTAATGGAGCAATGTTAATATTCCTCTTTCAAAGCAAACCTCTAACAGCAGGAGATAAAGTTCCAGTTCAAGAACATGCTGTCTCCAAACTAAAGACCCAGCCCTGGGTACGTTTGTATGTGAGTACTTCCACCAGACTTAACATTTAAAAAAAAAAAAATTAAAGTAAATAAATATTACTGAATGCACCTGAAAATAGTGGCTTAATGGATTTTTTTTTTCAACAGACTTATGACATGCCTTAAATTTGAAAATATATTAATGTTAGTACTACTTTTGGAGTATTCAGAACTGTTGACTACTTACGGCTGTAAGCAGCAACATGAGACCCTAAGACCATTCAGGATTCATCAATAATAAGAAAAATCAGTCTTTGGTATTGTTACTACACAAAATGAGTGTTATAAATCCTATCTAAAAGGTACTTGTGCATAAAATGCAAACAAATATTTAGTTTCAACCATTTGAGGCCCCATACAAAAAAAATATGCAGGATTGTTGTACTTAATACACTGTTCGCTACAGATCAAAGTTTGTTTCAGCATCCAGAGCAAATTTTCTTTGCAAAACTAAACATTTACACTTTTTTCCAGGCATGGATTAAATTACTTTACTGAGCATAGTCTGGTAATTGTGCTTCTGACTTCTGATGGGAAGACAAGCGCAAAACTAGAGTTAAGTCTTTCCTGGTTTACTAGTCCAAATGTATAATTTACAATGTTTTCTTGAAAATCCTGAAATTCAGAATGTTTTTATTATTCTTAAAACTGGAGAAGAGCATTAATACCTCTAACACTACTTCAAACAACTATAATTTGTATTTAATACATTTCAATTATGTTTAATATTTAATTTCACACCAATAAATGGTATTTTAGAAAACATTACCATGTTCTCATAGCTACTGTTAAATGAAAAATAACTTTTATATCAGCCATACAAAAAAAAAAAAAAAAGGAAGGAATGAATTCATTTTTCATCATCAAGTTGTGTTTATCTGTAACTATCTGACTATATCATGTGTAATAGTAGAGATAAGAAAGCAGCCTCTTTGAATTATTGCTCACCCTTCCTGCTCTCATCTCCCCAGTGAGAGTTGGCGAACAAATTATAATGCAAGGTGACCATTTATTTATTTTTTTTTATCATGTTCAGAGACTAGGAAGTCTACACTGTGAGATACCCACATAAAGTTAGCAACAACAAGAAAAGTACTACCGCATCCTGAGATGCTGGCATTCCTCCTAAAATTTGTGATACCTAAATCCAGGACTTGGACAATGCACTATTATTTCAGCAAAAATAAGTCCATCATTATAGGCTGTTTTGAGAGGAAGAATAGTATTTATGGCTAGCTCCAATAGGTTAATATGAGTTCATTGATGACATGTAGCCCAAGAAAGCAATTGCAACCAATACTTAAGTCTAGTGCAGTAGGTAGCTTGCAATCCCCACTGCAATAAACCCAAAAAACTGATTGCTGAAGATTTTAGTACTATGCAGGTGTGCCAGTGCTTTCTTCCCTAGAGACCTTTCACATCACTGTATAAGGAACTGAATAGTGTATTCCCTAGCTTTTATAGGGATTGATTGTAAAGACCCAGGGTAAAATTTCCAAAAACTAGCAGCAACTCTTATTCTTTAAAATGACAATTTAAAAAATGTTTTAATTTAGAAGTTAATACGGTATCATATATTAGAAAACAAAAGATGAGAACTAGTGTTCTATTAAAAAAGGAAGTCTACTTACCCCAAAGTTAGTAGCTGCAAACCGATCTGAGGCAGATACATTAGTTGCTGCTGTAGTATGAGCATAGAAAGCATTTATATTGGCTAACAATGTGCTCATAACTGCTGGAACACCAGGGCACATATATTTAGAAGACAGACAGGAAAAGTGCCTGCAATTCAAACAAACTGACAGTTATTAAAGACGGCAAAGATTCTGCTCTTTCTCTCACAACAATTTATTTTCAGCTCCAGTGGTGTAACTTTCCAGATACCTCACAGACAATTGTGCAGATACACATGAGGAAAATCCAGACACATTTGATATAATTGCCACTTGTTGCACATTGATATTTTCAAACTGACCAGATCAGATTCACGTTTGCTTCTCACTCTGTTAATCCTAAATACAAAAACATGATGTAACTCTCTTAATTGCTATTAAGCAAGACACTCAGTATTAGACAGAAACTTCAAATCAAACACAAACTTATAAAAAGCCACAAGAAATATATACTCTAGTGGAGAAGAATTTAATTGATGCCAACAAAAAGACTGAAACCAGCATTTTACCGTGGCTTGTATTTTAGGCTACATTATTAATGAAAGGTGAGGAATAAGCAACTTCTGTGTTTGCTGATTCTGGCCCATAAAGTTTAGGTCTGTTAAGCCCAAACCAGCTTCATACTGGGGAATAATGTTTAAGACAAGAGAAAGGCTGTCACTGAGCCTGTTCGGAGCTTCAGGAGAGAAAAGGCTTTATCTGCCATTTCCTGCAGAGGCTGAGGAGACTTACATTCCCTCACAAGCCTGCAACTACCGTCCAGCTCCCTGATGCAGACTGTTTTGATTCCAGAGAGAAGCTACAGCGCTGCCAGTCCTGCGGCACAGTGCTTGGACTAACAAGGGAGATTAAAGCCACAGCGTATCTTTGTGCTGCATGCACACAGCATAGAAACATGGGCATTTACATAGCGAGGTACACTACTGGCATGGGGGGAAGCTCTGAGTGATGAACTCAGATTGATGTTGAGGGCTGAAGCTGGCACTAGGAGACGAAGGACAAAAGATTGGGTGAGCCTCAAATTCCCACTAGGAGCAGTTCAGTTAGAGCTGTTTTAAGGCACTTGTGAGAAGATCTAGCACTGAGCAGTTTCCTTCTGCAGTATGTAGAGCTGCACAGGTCCAGAGTACCAATATGAGGGCTTATGCTCGCATAATGTTGAATTCTACGGTAGGAAAAGGAAGAAGGGAAAGGAAGAAACTGCCACACAAGGTTGCATTGCAGAATGTGAGTACAGCTAGTCCCCAGGCTGAACATTATCTCCCTCGGGATGCCAGCTTTTAGCCATTCCAACCTTTAGAGTTTCTAACTGGAAGCATTTTTTTGGATGGAGTTTCAGCTTCTATTCAGCAGAATCATGAAAGTAAGAATTTGGCCTGAGTGCTCATCACAGGCAAAATAACAGTGTAAAGTGGTTTTCTATTTGGGTTTGAATACTAGTAACCTTTCTGTTCCACTTTCCTTGACGAAACCAAAGACCATTACTGCTCACAGCACCTCAGGCGAGCAAAGGTACGAAAACCTCAATACTGACTTCCATTCAGGTCTGAGTGTATTAAATTATCTCTGATTTTTAAGCAGTCTGCTTCATGGGCAGCTAGGATTTGTTAGGTGAAAATTTTAACACTGCTGAATCAGTAAGAACATAATATCAGGTCACTAAAAAAAAGGTAAACCTGTTGTCAATGTCCAAGTGGGAAGTCATATACAGGTAATTTTCACTAAATTAAAAAAAAAAAAAAGTCAGAAATATTTTGTGTATTCTCTTTGTTTTTTTAGAATACTAAAAAAATTGCAAAGAATATATGACTTAGAGTAGGTCATGTTTTATTTTCTTGATAGTTCTTAAAGCTCAGAATCAGCACAGCAGTTAGACTTCTAACTCAAGTCAGTTTCAAATATTGATAGTTCTTAAAGCTCAGAATCAGCAAAGCATTTAGACTTCTAACTCAAGTCAGTTTCAAATTCTTAAATTGAAATGAAAACTGAGCCTATAGAAATTAAAAGCCCAAACAACTTGCTGTACTGCACCAGCCAAACCCAAAGGTGCAATCTAGCAGCACTGTTTACTTGTTCAAAACAGGAAATGCCTGCTTATAACTTACAGAGACCTTATAAGAAAACATGAGATACAAGATGGATCAAAGATCTAACCCAAGGAGAGTGAACACCATCATTGCAAACCATAAAATCTCAATTTCAAGATTTATAGTTAGGCAGGATTGGCAGGAAGATAAAAGGATAAAAAGTAAATGTGTTGAGATAGGAAAAAGAGTGAAGGCGATTAGCCAAAGAAGATGATGGTGAAAATGAGTATACAATCAAACAGAAGAGGATGAAGAAACACCAATCACTCTGGAGCTCTCTGTATGTCTGAAGGTCCTGATTTGGCAGCAGGTTCCTCTTAGCTGGAGTCTCTGGCTCCTCGCTACTGTTTCTCCTAGGAGCATAAGGCAGAGCAGTGTGCTGGCCCTGAACCACCTGGGCCCTTCTGCCCACCCAAGAAAAAAAAACTAACACAAGGTACAACTGAAGGTCCTGCTGACCTTAAACCAAGCACCCTTAACTGCCGTCACTGCCCAAAAAATCTTCCAGCCACATCAATCAAGATTTTTTTGCATCTTGTATTTGGATTCCTGTTCCTAAAGATACAAAAATGAGCTCTTTATACTTTCTTGCAAGCCTGCACGCAAACTCACTCTACCTGCTTTATGCTTTCTGATACCCTTTTACTGTCTCAGTGGTCCTCTAAATTCCTTCACTATGAGGCCTGCCTCATGCTCTTGCGACTGACCCTGCTCATCATATTCCTGCTTTCTGTTGTTCCAGGGCTGCAGAAACTTGCTTCTGTTAAAGAGACAACAGTTACCTTTCCTAGGGTCTCCCACACCACTGACTTGGTATATTTGCAGATACCTTTGCCATAACCCTTTGAGGTAATCTGCAATTTCACATCTGCCAAATGACTCTTCTTCTGTTAGTCTGTATTTTTTTAAAAGGGAAACTGGGGGAATGGAGCAGCAGAAGGCAGCACACATGAAGTCTCTCTTCCTTCTGCTCTTCCAGTACTCCCCTCTCAGTGCACTCTTGCTACAGATGCTCATCTGCAGATTCAGATATGGGCCTAAAAAAAAAGCTCTGGGCTGTCAGTACCTCATATCATACCAAATCAAGCCCTCTCCAACACTTCCGTTTACTTTGCAAATGAGACATCTAAATTGCAATGTTTACTTCAGAAATCTGTGTCAGGTCACAAATATGTTAAAAAAAGAAGAAAATTCCAAAAGTCCCCAAGTGTCCAGACTCAGGAATCAGGCTTCATTAAAGCACCTGATATCCATTCAGTACCTAGATATCAGAAATGGACACCGTAAAATTATTGACCAAACTGCTCCCCCCAACAGCCTTACTCAATGGAATAGGCTAACAGAACCTGGTAAGATACCTGAAATACAATCTGCTACTTGCAGTAAGGTAAATGTGATGCTGAACACACCACATATCACTGTGGTTCCATGATCACTATGGTCAACATAGGACAAAAGCTTTGGACTCATCCTAGATGTAAAGTCTGCTCCGGCAGGGGGATTGGACTAGATGATCTTTCGAGGTCCCTTCTAATCTCTAACATTCTGTGATTCTGTGTAAAGTGTGTTTTAATTACCAGTGAGTCTTCAAAATGTGTATGCGATCTATAAATTACAGTATTTTTCTATTTTTTTCTAAAAAAATAAAGCATAAGAGATGTATACCAACTGATCCTATAATTGAAAAGCAGTTGTCTGGAAAACTTCTAAAATTGTAATTTTCTAACTTTTTTGCATCTCACTCAAGATAAATCCTCTTATAATTAAGTCAGAATTCCCAAGAAAAAAAGTCATTAATTATGCATGTACAAATACCTAAAGAAAATCCCAACACAAATTAATCTTTGCATGTACAAATACCTAAAGAAAATCCCAGCATAAATTCATCTTTTGCTGCTTTAAAGTATCATTCAAAGTCCCTGAAGTGTTAAGGACATAAGATTTCAACAGGAATGGATACTGGGATGAATCAAACCCTTAATCCCCCTCAGTTGAGCTGAGCTGAATAACTGCTGGATTTTCTAGTTTACCTGGCCAGGCAAAGAGACTGGAAAAGAAGGGATCCAACTGCTGATGGGAAGCAAGAAAGGCAGGGTCATATTAAAGAGAATCTAGGGCTACAGTCTTCATATGTGGAGTCCTTCTATATTTGCAGCCTTTCCAGGTCAATCCAGGAGATCAACTTTGTGGGCTTTCTCTGTCATTAGACTCTTTAAAGTATTTTTCATGCAGGGTTTATCATCACACAGTCTTGAACTGATGGGATGATATATATTGATACTTAAAATTTGTATCGTGGTAGTCAGTGTCCAAAGTGCTTTGCAATATTTTTCAGCATTCCTGTAAGGTAGATCATTAAGTGCTATTATCTGCATTTTACAAAATTGAGAGAAACAGCTCAACTCTACACAGCAAATCAATCACATGGGCCAGGACTAGAACTCATCATTCCCAGCTATGTGGCTCGTAGGGATAACACTAGCAAGCCTTTCCTTCGTTGCCAATATTTTTCAGAAGTGCTTTTAAACACTGCAACGTGAATCTGACAGAAGCGCAGCACAGCTACCTACTCCTTAGGAAGATCCTTCAGTGTATGTCACGTGTTTCCTGTCAACTAGCAGAATAATTTCCTTTGTGTAAAATACAACAGTGATGTGAGGTGATTCTCACCAGTTTCAGGTAACTTCTAAGGTTAATAGTAATCTCACCTGATCTATTCATCACATGCATTTCGAGAAATACATGTAGTGATGATCAGAACTGTTTTTTTAAATATTGACAAAAAATAATTAACATTTACTCTTACCTTTAATTTCCAAAAATCTTCTAGTGGACATAGAGATCCCTAGTGCATAAGGAACTCCAGAGATATGGAGGCACTAATAACCCCACTAGCCTTAGAGTCATACCTATAGCTTCTGCTCTGGTGAGGGGAGGAAGCAGATAAAAGTCTGCAGCAGTCACTATGCAAAAAGCCTCTGAGATTGTATCAATTGCCTACAGGGAACATGACAGACTGGAAAAACGGTTTGGGTCAACATTTTAAGTTCAGAGAAGGTGTCTTCTGCAGGTTCTTCTAATGATTTCACACTGAGCTACCCAAGGCCTGGACTGAGCTCTTACCTTGAAAATAGACTGAAATTGTACCAATTTGTTGTGAGGAAAATTTAAACCTATCGATGTAATTTTTAAATGTCTTTATTATGTTACTGCACCATTCCACCTGTAATTTGGTTAGTGAAACCAATGATAAAGCATCTGTGTCAGCTGACAGGTTATGTGACATTTTGCTTTTCTCTTTCATTTAACTAAAAATCTGTAAAGTTCACAGACCCTATTATCACATGCAATATGGGTCTCGACTCTGCAAGTGCTGATAACCCAAGTAAGAAAACTGCAAGCCACCTGGCTTCCTTCTGCTTGCTAAAACAAATAAATTGAAGAGGAAACTTCCTTCCTTGTTTTTGTAGGTCTCTGAAAACAGCAGCCAATAGCATGACTTATTAACAATTTCTAATAGGCATAACCATTGCTTAGTCTCACATATTTTAGAGCAATAGCTCTCGAGCAAAAGCTAGAGTCATTTGTCTAAAACCAGGCTTGCTTGCTTCAACTTTCTTCCTACAGAATTGCCTGACCAACATGCAGTGCCTGTGACTCTTCCAATCTTTCCCCTAGTGTGAATCAGCAAAGAAAGGCTAATTAATGTGCTGTACTCAGTAAACAAACGCTCTCAGTGAAAATTACTTTAATGGGTGATTTGTGTGCTTTTTGCAGTGCAGCCACATTAATTGAAGACTAGCAGGAGAAGATGGCATAGTTAATGCCCATTAACCTGCTGGAATGAGAACTATGTCGCTGATTTAGAAGCATTAGGTTCTACCTGTGGTGACTCTTGACAGTAAGAAGCAAAGATCTTAATGGCACTTTTATTGCACTTGACTCGACTACACAGTAAATCCAGGATGCTGATGTTATATATAATTTCAGTGTCTAGTCGAACACTGTTTCAGTACGTGCTCTGCTTTTTGCTTTCTAAAGAGAAATAAATTATGTTGAAAGATGAATGAGAAAAAGAAAATTATTTTTTCTTGATAGTGGAGAAGTGGCTTAATATATGCAGATAAATAAACTTCCAGTACGATTCCTTCAAGACATAGAATTTACAGCATAAATCACCATTCATCACTGCAGTCATCAAAATAAGGGACAGCTGGATCACTGAGCTGTACTTCTGGTTTTGTTAATCTATTTTCTGTCATATCTATTTTCTTTCCTATTCTCTCACACATATGTGCTTTGACTTCTGGGAGAATGCACATATCATTTGTGTAGCTAACACTGTCTGTTTGCCTGCTATTCATCACAAAAAAAATACATCTCTTCTGACCCATATAAAAATGGTTTTAACTGTCCTTCATTTCTTTTCCCAATATAGACTCCATGAGGAGTGGAGGAATAAGTGTAAGAAAGAGTGGATTATGGAACCGATACAGGCAAGACTTCAAAGAGCTGCAGTTACTGCAACACAAGCAGGCTTTTTTTGTTGTATTTTGGTTTTGGGTCAGTGGTTAATTATCTATTCACGTGAATTCCATATTTGGTAACTTAAAAGCATATTTATTTGCTTAGGAACTGGGCACTTGGAAACCTTATCTTGACAGTAAGACACCCCTTGTAAGTGGGCATCCTTTAGGGAAGAATGTCTACATTTAGCCTCATAAAAATGTGGATGTCTCTGTCTCCAACAACAAGTGCAATCACGCTTGAATTCATTCTCTTTATAAGTTTAATGAAAAAAGTCTCACTGGGGACAATGACTAAGGCAAAATGTAACCGTCTGTGATAGCCTTTGGGTTGATATCCACATTCCAATAAGTCTTCGGTGCTGCACAGGTAATCTCCTGATCCAGAATCAAACACTGACTCACACATGGCATGTTTTAAATCACAGAAAATGCAGAATTTCTTTGCTAATGCTGGTTGAGAGAGAAAGAGAGCTTGAGCTTTATGTTTTCAGGACTGTTAGTCAACTATTGGACTGATTTTCTGTGAAGCAGTCAGGCACTGAAACAATAAACTGATGTAAATTCTTGTTTATCTTTGCTGAGCTGCCACAATTGTGGCTGATGAGCATACTCAGTGTCTTTGGAAAATGAAGGCTGTCCTTTTGAAATATTATTTCTGTACTTTAAGGGAATAAATATAAATACATATTAATTTGAGAGCCAGAAATAAATCATCTGGGTCTACTAAGAGGATCACAGATGACAAAGCCATCAGCATGAACCTGAAATGATAGACCGAGTGGGGTTGTTTATTACTGTAGCAGAACAGGATTCCAAATTGTTCTAGGAAGTAGTACTTTAGGGAGGTTTAACTAGATTTACGTTGTGTTCAGAAATGCAGAATGGCATATGTTCCTACTCCAGTGTATGCTGTGTACCTATACCTAAAAGGGTCAAGACTGCCTATCATTAAGTGACACTGAAACTTTATGTAATAGGCAATTTTAAAACTTCAAACAAATATGAATTTTAAAAATGACATTCAGGCAAAACCACCTCATTAGCAACACCCTAAAACTCAATTGAGTCTGATACAGTGCATAAGAAGCACGTGGATACTCTCTGGGGTCTGAATCACAGGCTATGAAAGCGAAGTCAGTTTTTGCATTTACAAATTCAAACATTTTAATTTACAATGTTATCATGAGACATGCGGTAGAAACATTCTTCAACTAGATTCTTGAGCACAAAATGCTTACACAATATTCCTTTGGGCCAAGTGATTACATTCAAATTCTCTCTCTGTTGTATGGTAGAAAATTGCTCTTCTTTTAGTAGTCACATAGTTACCAAATGGGATCTGATAATTCTATTTTCCAAATCAAGAAGCTGTACATTTTCTCCCAGCCATTAAAGTTGTTCCAGGAGGAAAAAAGTGATCTTACAAACACAAATAAAACCAACCGATAATAGTCCAAATGAAAATTCCCCATGACAGACCTAGTGTCTTCACTGCTCTTCTCTCCAAAGTTTGAATGCTCTTACTGAGAGACGTCTCTAGATGAATCAGCAAAATAATGTATACAAATATATATGCTTCTCCAAGTATTATCTGAGATTACATTCACTATTGATTTTATTCCTACCTGAAACTGTATTTGGCCTGCCCCTCAAATAGGGATTGTGCATGCAACTTTCTAAAATGTAAATGGACATGGGTATGGGGATAATGAAATCTTAGATTTTATTTCCTCTGTAAATTACCTGTAACTACCAATATCAAATTCACTTTCTTATTACATCTGCCTTCAAATGCCTGGTTTGCAGTCATCAACAGCAAGGAAATTTGATTGAAAAGCTACAGAAGAGACCAAGAACAAAAAGAGGACAAGCCAAAGTAGGTAATTTAACTTAAAATGGCTTGGTTAGGATTTTTGAGTAATGATTACTGAAAAAATATGGTGCAGTACTTGCCCAGCTCTGTGTTAGATATTCAGACTACTTCCTTTTCATTAATATCTGTATATTATGTTATTTACTGATATAAAAATAAAGCATCTTCTTTATATGAAAATATAACCTGTCCATTTCTAACACTGCCAAATGAAGAAGCTTTCTTAAATACTCACATGTCAATTATATTGCTATTTTTGCAGTTATGACTTTTGCTAAATTTCAATTCCTAAAATCAGTTTCAAACTTTCTCTGGAAAATTTCAGAGTACTAGCATTCATCAAAAGATAAAGGAAAAGAATCTTCAAAATATTTTTTCAGTTGAGGTTGTCCATCAAAAATATAGCCACGTTGTATTGAAATAATCAACTACTGGGGCTATAGTTAAGAGGAAACGCTAGTGGTAAACCAGTCCTGCTTTATCTCCTAAGCAGAACAGTAATAACAGCCCTCCCTTCCCATTAATAGCCCTTGACAGTTCATAAAAAACCTTGAATTCATTTTGATACATGTAGCAGGAACAACTCTATCATTTCAGAGATTAACATTTTGGTAAAAATGGCATACCAATATGCTAGTTAATAAGTAACATAACTTGATCAAGATGTAAAGACGTACATAGCTAAAGAGAAGTTAAACATGAAAACCTAAGTATTAATGAAACTTAACGCATGAGTTCCTTCATATGTAGTATAGATATACAATACCACAGGGGAACTGTCCAGCCTAATTAATTCTTCTGTGCAATGTTGTTTAAGGTCCTTAGGGGAAGACCATTAAAAACATATATATTACAAATACCTTCTCTACCTCTCTATTAAATGTACATAAAGCAATCAGACAGCTACTTTAATAGGGACAATGTTGTAACAGGTTCTAATACTGTTTGCATTAATTATTTACATATACTATGGAAGTTTACTATAGCCATTGCTGGTGTTCTGTGATGATTTCTGTACTCCTAGAAAGGAGTACAGAGCTTATGAACCCCTGTTCTACCATCCCAATCCCATGTGGAACAGTGGAAGTCTTTCTGATTCTTGCCACATACCAGTATCATAAGGATTAAGAAATGCATTAGCAGCAATACCAGTAACGGTTTATAAAATGCTTATAATATATCTTAATTCCATTGCAGATGAGAAGAACTTCAATGAGAATCAGATGGACAAAAATTATAAAAAGAATTTTAAATCAGGAATGGGAGTGAAATGGAGAATGAAAGCATGAAGGCTTGGAACTCATCACTTCCCTCACACATATTCTTGACTGTAGAGTAGAAAACCAGATACAATACTTACGTCATAGCTTGATAAATATATTCAATTCCATAGCGCATTGCAAATTCATCTACAATTTCTTGTGCAGCATCATCAAAGTACACCTTCCAGGCTTCATCACCTCTCACTTCAGGGATTTTTACAACACCATTAGATTTAACTTCCGTCAAGTAATGGAATAGATTCTAAACGCAAGAAATGTTTCAAATAAGAATTTTTGGCTTTTCAGTGGCATTCTGAAAGTATATCCTAAATAATATCCTAAATAATAGTCATCAATATGTTCATTGTTAGGTTTGGGGTTTTTTTTAATTCTTTTGAAGACTGGCACTAACTAGTTATTATTTGGTAAATACAAAACCCCAAGACTCTAAACACATTTTTGTAATGGAACCCTGGTACTGCTGGCTTGTGATTCAGCTCCTTGACATAAGTTAACTGTCACAGAGAGACTGCAACATAAAATCATTCAGAAACTTTCTCTACTCTATCATATACCCTTGCTAGTGAATGAAATCACGATGTTATAATGCTCACTACATAATGCTTCGACCTTACTTGGATCTGTGACCGATAAATTTCAAATCCATTGTTTAGGAACTGTCAGCTACAGGAAACCTATCAGAAATACTGCAGAAGCCTCTCAAGTAGTGAAAGGCATGCAATAAAGTTTAGATTTGGCAATTTTAGGACTAAAGCTAGCAGTTAATGTCATTGAATGCTTCTCAAAATACCTAGCTCCATATATATCCACAAACTCAGCAGCAGATTTGATTTCCTATTTTCAGTGACCCCAAAACTTTGAAATAACTTCAATTAATTTTAATTAGTTTTGCTAATTAGTCCATCACTGTCTTGTGGATTATCTTAAAGCAACAGAATTTTGCCATTGACTTCACAGGTCAAAACATTTTCAATATCAGGTCAAAAATCTATGCCGACAAATACCCTGAACATTCAGTTTTGCAAATGGTGAACAATGGGATTTTGTGGATACATACTAGTGCTGAACTTTCAGCCATGTATTATCTATAAGCTTTCAGAAAACACTCGTATTTTCTGAAGAGAACTTTAACGTGGATCACTGTTTGAGGGAAGAGGAATCAAATACAAAGAAAATCTTTTGAAAGGCACGCTGGTTTATCAGTGATGGTTCTTTTTTTAATGTTGACAAAAGCAATCTAGACAATAGGAAAACAAAATTTTGTATTGTCTAAGCTTATCCTAGCTTTTTCTCGCTCTCCCCAAAATATGAATTAATGTAGCAGGAAGGAAGTCCTTTACAATTAACAGCTATATTTCTGTAATATACAGAAATGGTTGTACCTTCTTGATGTTAGGAAGCATGTGTGAAGCATTAAAATGCTACAACAAAATACAGTATGGGGAGAACTTAACTGAATCCACCTTTTTTTTTTTTTTTTTTTTTAACTCCTACTGGCAGGAATGATCTGTTGGTGTTCTGTTCTGCCTTTCACTCTGAACGTGGTACGCCATCAGCAATACAAAGTGGGAAATCTAAAATAAACTTAGTTAGTTACTGTTAGTAACAGCAGTTATTTGTTTCAGTGTTCTAATGTTCTGCAGCCTTTTTTCCTTATGTATGCAACAACTGAATAGTAATTTCAGTGTAGGATGCTTTCTTTAACTTCTCCAACATACCTCATGTAGACAGGTGTACTGCACATGGTAGGGAGCAACTTTCTCCTCTCCTTTTATTTCAACATTGATTTTCAATCTAATGGCACCAGAGACAGCTGATTTATCTGTTCGCTTTTCTGAAGAACAGAAAAACAATATATTAGTAACTACCAAGAATACATATATGTCATCTGAAAAACTTTCATAAATCCTTCTAGCTTAATTAGAATGGTTTTTAAAGCCAGAAAGCCCTAGTGTTGAGAACAAGAGAATTATTTAAATACCTCATACAGTTCAGGCCATGAAGCAGAATATCAAACTAGCAAAGAACCTTTCTTATTTTATCTGACAAATTCAAAGTAGGCCCTACAGTGCTTTATTTAACAATTTTCCCTTTTCAATAGAAATTATATCCTTTTTCTATCTGCTACCTGTGCTAATTATTATTATTATTTTAATTATTGATATTTTCCTTTAGTTATGAAGACTTCAGCAACAACCTGGCTACTATGTCTGAGAGAAACTAAAAATGTTCTTAGCGAAACTGAAGTACAGAGCTAAGCTGAATCTTACAGAAGAAATTATATAAAGAACTTTGTTTTCACTATCTGTACTAGTCTGTTTAGTTGCTGCCACTCATTGCAGAGGTTACTGATCTTTGACTCCAGTTTTCACTTTTCCAAACCACTCTAGCAGTGTAACTGAGTGAACAGGTATTAAAATTTTTATGATTCTTTCACGAAGTACTGTGATATGAATGGTGATGAATGATACAATTAATAAAATTAGTATTCCACAAATCTAATTGTTTTTTTCGTTATTTCACTCCTCTTTCCTCTGTATGATGCGAGATACTGCATCTATCAGAATAAAATATGCCATTCTTTTTAGAATATTAGAATTATCATGAGCCATTTACCAGTATTTCTTTTTAGATTCTGACTGAAAGGTTTTCATTCTAGATGCTTCCTTTTGCAGACCACAGACTTTCAATGTTACTATTAAACTGCTTCCAGTCAAATCAGTTCATCAAGATTTGTTTTAAAAATCCATTTCAAACTGATATAAATACTGATATAAATTATTGTAAGTCATTGAAATTTTTGAAGGAATAAAATTCAGGATTCAAAAAGACCCAATTATCTTACTTTTAAAAATCTCATCATAAATAGGAAATAAAGCAAAGCTTTTTTTTCTTTGTCAATAAGAAATCAAATAGTTCCCTGACACATCTATGTGTGTCACTGGGAAACAAAACACTAGACAGGGAAACAAGGACAGTTGATTAGGAAACAAACGCTCTACAATTTCACAAAATTATGTCACATAATTCACCCAAAGTTTTCACAGAGCAGGCAACCTAGATAAAAAGGCTACTATCAAATTTTTATTATCAAATATAGGAGATTAACTTTTAAAGGGCTACTCCAGAACATTTAGTGCACCCAAAGAGATTTTTAGAATTAAAGAACAGTTGTATGCTTAGATTTAAATAAAGGAAATGTATTCTGAGACACACTTTTATTCATTTATTCCTGGTTTAAAGAATGATACTTCTTAAGACCTGTCTAGACAAGAAAGTGCAGTCACTAAGGGCAACAGAGAGCATTTTGAGTTTCAGCAGACTGTCTTCAGCTTATGACTGCATGTAAACACATTTGACGTGTACAGAACAGAAAACTCAAGGAAGCAAGCTTCATGAGGAAACACAGGTGTAAACATAGAGAAAACCAAAGATGGTTAGGCCCAGAATGGTATATAAATAATTCTAAAAATATGTGATAATATGAATGTGGACAACAAGCAAAATATTTGCTAGATTTTTCTATGCATCTTTGTAGATGTATTTCCCACAGAATGCTACTGTGAATGGTCTAGTCTGAAATGTTGTGTTTTCTTAAATATTTTTAATTTTGCATTAAAATGTAATATTTTTTCTTTGATATTGTTGTGATTAGTCTGCTCTCTGTAATTGCCATAATCTGGATCAAAACCAAGAAAGTATCTTTCATTTTCAAATCAACATGTAATATTTAAGATTTTAAAACTTGTATATTGGTACAAAAGCTATAGATTTTCACAAATCTATAGATGCTGAAATTCTACTTAAATTAGTTTTAAAAAAATCAGTAAGAATCATACCTAAGTTATACCATACATCCATTTCTCCACTCAGTGTTCTTACTTCAATGATTGTTTGCCCGAGGAAGTCATCTGATTCCTTTTTGAAATGTTGTTTTACTCTAGATTTGATGTCATCATCTTCATCCCATACTCTCACTTTTATTCTATCTGTAGAGTTATGGCATTCACTGTAAAAATAATAATAAAATATAAAACGTGAGTGATACATAAGCTACATACATTTGGACGGCTGTCTAATTCACTGTCCTTGATTTCCATATACTTGCTTAACTGCATGAAGCAGCAGAATACAAAAAACCTGCAAGATTCAGTGAAATAAAAGCCACACCACATCGCCAGGGACAAAACCGCAACTACTATATATAAGAAAAGTAAAGAGATTAACTTGACTGAATTACATATACACACAGACTGTATTTAGGAATGTCATTAACTCCTCATTAAAATTATTAACTAATTTACAACGTGTACTTTTCGATGCTATTATTTAACAAATATCTTAGGAAAAATACAATTGCATCAGGTTTAGTATTTTAGAAATGCTGTGTAGTATGTACACTAGACCACAAAAGTAGTAGCCTAGAATGTTATAATATAAAAAGTGAGAAAATTTTAAAGAATATTTGCAGTACATGTCAGGAAGTTTTGGGGAAAAAAAAAACACATAAAACCAAACAAAAACCAAAAAACCCCAAAAAGCAACAAGTATGAGAAAACATCACAGCAAGACAAGACAGGCAAACAGGAAAACTTACAGAAGTAAGTAGCTGCTTTCTTTAAAAGACATATTACTTTTCTCCAAGACCTCCATTCCCTGGCAAGGAACAGGAGTAGGGACAGACTGCCACATACTAAAAAAATTCCCTGCAAATTAAAGTGGCTTACTAACCCCTCGTGAGCCGCATGGATTTCAGAAACTACTGGATGTATGAGACAGTGAGGTGGCTTCACTTGCAGTCTGCAGAGTTCCCAGTGGGTACAATTTTGTATTCCCAGCTCCATCCTGCATATATTTGCACAGAAATGGAAAACAAACTCTATTGCTGCTTGTTCCTATAAGCCACAATGAGGACTGTTTACTATTGGTCAGTGTTAGCCTTTGATGACTTCATTGGAATATCCTAACATTGACTACAGAAATCTGTGGTAGTGAAAAACTTTCCGGTGGCATTTAACGGCTAGAACAGACCTGGCATCTGTTGTAAACCCTGTCGTACTCATGCATCCATAGTAACTGGGTTGTTTTTATTATATCTATTCAGTAAGGCTACAAAAATACTTCTACCATTATGAATCTTTGGTTATCTTTAAATATAGTTTTAAAGTGCAGCAGCAAATCTTCATCTTCAGCAAGGTCTTAGCTTGACACTAGATTAAGAGTTCTTACTTGAATTCTGTTCCAAGCACTATCACTGCTCAGCGATCTCAGTGTTTCCAGCATTAAAACAGTAATACTATAACTTATCTCCCAACTGGCACCCCTCTGGGGTGTTCTAAGAATTAATTAGTGGTGGTAATGGGCTTTGGAAGTATAAAGTGCTTTAAATGGTATTATTACTGTCAAGGCCAATCAGTCACTAAAAATAGCATGCACAGCTTTTAGTCTGCTTTGCCGTGACATCATTCAGTATCACAGAAATGCTCGTGTCTGCCTGTATTCCAAATTTTAACATTGCAGATATCTCTGGTAATTAAAACCCACATTGTTCAGTGATTACCAAAGCTAATGAAGCTTAGTTGCCTTTTGTCTTATGACTGGCTTCCCTGACATCTAACAAACTGCTATCAGCTGTTGAATCTTCTCCCATAATTGGGATTTTCATAAATTACCACTTCATATAGACTCCCTGGCATCTATTATGGGGTGAGCTCATACTGAGGATGCTGTTAGGATCTCATTTCTGTCTGACCACCTATTTTCATAGAACACAACGGACATAGTATCAGGCAATCTGTGAAATTTCTCGGACTGATCACAAAATCCAAAAGTTATTGGCAAGGACATAAAATATAGGAAGACACAGATCAAATAAACACCTTTGCCGTAAGAAACTAGGCTAAACCCAGAAACCATTTAATTTTCCTAAAATATAGCCCTGAATTATTGCTTAACATGGCTAGAGTCCTGAATTGCATTTAGCTGTGCACCCAACAGAAATATTAAACATGGGATTTCTACAATGGTATAGGGAGATCCCTCACTGGTGAGGCATTTATGTGACCCTCATCACCGTATCGGTACTTTTAGTAGAAATCTTGTTCCTGCTTTGCTTCTCAGGGAGATGCTGCATATAAAAAAATCATTAAACAGTACTTCAGTACAAACACCATATTTTTATTTTCCCGAGACAACACCAATTTCCCTCTGATGTACACTTAGCTGATTAATGAATATTTATTCAGATGGTCATAATGACTGCACTTTCCCCTGATATCCCCATTTTTCTCTCCCACATGTTTTTCTCCTTTAATCTTGGGTCAGCAAAACATGGTGAAACCTATCACAACCAATGGGTTTACTCCCATGTTCATCTCTGTGTCTAAACCTTTATCTCTCCTAAATGTTTGCAATGTTCCTGTGCGAGACCCCAAAACCAGCACAGATTTGTGATGCAAGAATGGAAGGGTGGATGAACATGTATTTCTACTGGCCTGCCCAGTGAGAAAGCAGGAAGATTTACTATTAAAGTTACAGAGCTGCCTCTTCATGATTCTACTTACCTGTCCAGCCCCTCAGAAAAAGCAGTATATAATGAGATGCACATTCTGCATTAGTCACTGGTCACATCTGTTCAGAAGCTCTGTGGCTTTGCAGAAAGCATTGGATGGGACTTCTGCTTCCTCTGTTCAGGAAAATCAGCCCAGGGAACTCAAGGCAATGCTATTTTCAGTGTTCCTCTTCTAGCTACTCCCCTTTATATGCTCAGTAAAACTGTTCAATAAGGTGTGATACAGAAAGGTGACAAGTGAATTGTTCTTTAGCACATAGAGGATGAAGACACTGATGCTTCTGAAAGCTAGAAAAGCTGCAGTATATTCAGAGATGCTAGACAGAGGAGATAGTTTTAATAATTTATCAAAAGTCTGGTGAAGCTACATTACTTCTGCATTTACAGAATGCTGCACAGACATGAAATATTCCTCACAACATTCCTGCCTGTTCTAATGGCTAGAGTAATAAAAAATGTAATAATAAACTATCTTTACTATAGCAGTCCCATGTCAATTTAATAGTAGATGCACTGGCATGATCTGATGGTACACCTCATCCAAGAGATCTGCACCCAGTGTTAAAATAACAACTAATTGATACTGTGCTATTTTAGTAAAGACATAAGCACAGTAAAATACACTATCTTGGTGAAATTCTGTAAGCAATCAGCACACAAATTAGGCTATGTCTGAGATGCAGAACTTGACTGACAAGCCTTTGCAACACCTTTGCCTGCTCACTTCCATTTTGTAGTTTGACCATTTTTTTTTTCCTAAATCAACTTTTAACCAATCATTTCACAAATGAATAGTCTAAAAATCAAACATAAACTACTGTTAATCAGAGGTCCAAAGAAGTGGAGAAAAATATCTTCTGACATAATAAGATAGACAAATCCATTTAGAACTGCTCTTGTATTCCTTGAGCACTCAGCTAAGTAGTTCAAGAGTAGACAGCTAGTGGTAGCAAAGCTTTGAATAACTTCTACTCTAATAGGAAACTTTTCAACACCACAGATAATGACCAGGCTCTTTCTAAAAAAAATCCTCAAAAGTGACAGAACAAAGAAACGTAAAAAAGGGAAGCATTATATTATTCTTTCTCCAATTTTACAATTGTGATAATGATTCACAGACAGATTAAATCACTCTATAAGTATCAGTAAGCAGTAAAGAAACTGCTCTCTCACAGTGCCCATTCCTCCTTTTCAGAATATATTCAGCCTTTTTTTTTTCTCCTGAAGCTTTAGCATGCATTTTTATTCCAAAGAGTTCTTATAAAAAATAGAGAAGCATAAGTTTCTTCTACAAGCGTTCTCTCTGCTCTCCAATGAGGATTTCTAAGATCCAAACACTATTAACCCGCATAATTTTCCAGAAATATAAAAACCAGAGTCAACATGACTTGCCAAAGCTCCAGAGAAGTCACTCTAGTTATTGATGGTCAAACCTGAAGATCTTTTCATTTGTTGTCAATAGGCTACTTCAGCTGAAGACTGCCAGCCTGCCTATGTAAGAGCGCTTGCTGAAGAATCACCGGGGTCTACTGTAATTGAAGTACATAACTTTTGTTTTTTGCTGTATTTTGTTTTCAGTTTCTTTCTCTGGTAGCTTCTATTTCTGTTTAGCCTGTTACAAAAATACCTGACTACATTAAGGCATGTAAAGAAAACATTATACATACCAATAGCTCCATAGTCTCTCAGGAAATCTATCTATTCCATTACTTCACTAGCCCCGCTGTTGTCAAACCTTTTCTGCAGTCTGATTTAAGCGTCTCTGAACAGAATTTGTGCCTATTACTTCTCGTTCTACTATAACAGTAGATTGTTCTTGTTCTTTTTCTACTATAACAGGAAAACAGATTGTTCCTTTCCTCTTTGCAGGAGAAAGGATGTGTCTAAAGACATCCTTAACTCCACTACTTGCTTCTTCTCTAGTCTGGACAGTCCCAATTCTTTAACAGTGTGGTCACGGGCCATGCTTTCTGATAAAGTAGAATGAGACTAATTATGCCTTTTCTTGCATTAGTTTACTCTGTCATAACAAAAAGAGAGTTCTATAAAATTCACCTGGATTGACAGCAGTTTGAAAAAAAAAACTCGGACCAAACATGCTGTACCATGAAATTGAAAAACATTATTGCCGAACAAACAATTTATTATTTGAATTGGTTCTTAGAGGTATTCCACTCTCTTGTTTTGGGGTGAGGCTATGAGATACAGTTACTTTAATTAGTAGGACATCTTTTAGAGACTTGTCTGCTTATTAAAGAATTTTTAGAATGGATAAATTGAGAAAACTAACGTGCAGATTTCTATTACCCAAGTGTTTTTTTGTAACATAATTCTCTGCTATATACTCTTGCTTAAACAATCCTTAAGCTGTTTCAACAATTCTCACAAGACTGTGTTTAGATATCACTGGAAAGTGGAACACCATTTAAACAGTTAACCCATCTTCAGGTACAGTGCAGATTATACTTTTCAGAAGTCAGTTCAGTTCATCAAGAATGTATAAAATGACAGCAGGAAAGGACTTTGGTAAGGTCCTCGTCATATTTATTTTCTATACATAGCTTCTTATAGTATTTCTTTAAACGGATCCACAAATCACTTTTTTTTTTTTTTTTTTTTTAAAAAAGGCAGTAGAAATAAACTGTGCAAGTGCTGCTCTTTAAGGTAATTCTAAGGCAAGAACATCCACAGCTGGATGCCTGAAATAGCTGCCAGAAATTCTCACTTCATCAGAAACTTCAGACTTAAATATCCAAAATATAGAGCAGTTGAACAGCTTCTCTGACCAATACAGAGACTTTAACTATCATGGTCTCTAATTTACATGAATGTTGTTTGATGATAGAGGATACTTTTTCCCAGTATTATCTGACAAAACATATAGCAGTAAGAGTTCTCAGCAACATTCTAGTTTGTTTGAACAAACAGGTTTTTTTCTGGAAACAATTGTAAATCCTCCTTCTATTGGATTTTATGTCTGCATTGATATTTTCCATATATCACCAGGAAATCATCAAGAATGTCAGAAATCAGACAAATTCTAACAGTTTAGGGGTGACCATAATATTGGCCAGGTGGTAACTGTAGTTTAAAAAACCCCCTTCTATTTGATCTAATTTAAATCAATTTGATCAATTATTTTCATGCACTGAAAGGAGTAATAGATATCCAATGAAGTTATTTATCAGAGCCATATGGTGGCCTAGTGACACCCAAAATAGAAAGAATAAGTAATGTAAAATAATAACCCAGTTGTATGGAAGACTTCTGTATTATACAACTGTATCTGAGGCGTTAAATGAATGGTCAGAGGAAACATGATACCTGCAAACTCTGAAAGGCAATTTGGACATGTGTGCTTGCTAGACAACGCTGCCAGAAAAAAAAGCAGATTTCCATATTTCAGCAATCAACTGCTGAAAAGTCAAGAAAAAAAAATGAGTGGAGAAGAGTTTTATTATAGTGTATAGATCTAAAAATTTGGACGAAACTGAAAACTATGCAGCCAAAATATCTCTTCGTTGTAACCAAAAATTAAAAAGGCAGTCCCTTTTCCCATATCAGATGCCACACTCAGCCAGAAGAGGGAAGATGACAGATAGCTGCAAGACTCTTCCTTTCCTCTGGCATTGAAAAAACTCTCCTATGACTGGTATTTTACTGAAAAAATAAAAACTGCTATGTTATCTCCTTTCTAATAATGCCAATAGAAAGGATCAAAACCCTTTACCACCTATATTACATTCATTAAAGTAGCATCTGCTCACTTATTTACTTCTCTATCTTGTACACAAAAATTATACATTTCAAGGAAAGATGCATTCTTCCTCTGAAAGTCTCGGTTTCTAACTGAGATGCAAGCAGCTATATGTAAACTCTACTTTAGTTATGGTTTATGGGTTTCCATGTTAAAATCTATGCCAGTATCCCATGGTCATTTAGCAGAGGGTTACATTACATTTTGTTGGAAACTTTCACTCTCTGCCTACCGTACAACCATATTGGGGTTATGTGTGATTCTGCAAACTACAACTCTGTCCCAGCTCTGTCTGCTGTGACAAAGCAAGCGCGCGGTAGGGAGCCAACCTCCCAAGTCCTTGTTTTGGAACAGATGGGGAGATTGAAATGAATGTTTTGGTATTACAAGTAAATATATGATTGTAAGATTTTGAGATATATTTTATTTATGCAATTTATCATTTAGGAGTTATAATTGTGATTAGTATTTGATTTTAAATAGGACTATCAAATATCACTAGTAGAGCCTAATTTAAACTTCCTGAGTCAATGAAATAGTGATATTGATATACTTTAGATTTAATCTTGTGGTTAAACATTTATAATTTATTTAATACACTTTAGAAATTCTCATATACGTTCAACGGAAATCCAATGCATTAAATAAGTCAGGGAGATGACTTTATTTTAGAAAGTACAAGTGCCATAAAAATGATTGAAAATGTATTCAGTTCAAAGCAGTTACTCAGGAAATTTATGCTATAGTAGAGTTTGGGGTTTTTTATTAATGTTATTGGTAGAGCAGCAGATGATAGCAATACTTAGTGCTAGGTGGAAAAAAAAAAAAAAGTAATATTTTCAAGTTTCCAGGGATTTTATGGTAACCCTGCTCATATCTTTGAGAAAATACATTTAAAACATCATACCACATTTGCTGAATTGCTTGTCCAACTTTTGACATTATGCAACTCAGACAATAAAATGAAAGAAAATAATTAATCTCCTACCTTTGGTTACTCACAGTCATTCAATGAGATGTGACACTTCAACTGTTACTGGACTTATATATATGAAAATAACTTTAAAAGAAAACATGATCGGTATAGGGGAAGTTTGTAACAAGTTTTTGAATGTGTGCTTTCTCTGAATTAACTATTCATTTGTAGTACTGGCCTTTGAATCTGTGAATGGATCGGACACACCTTGTTTAACACAGTTGGATGACCTAGTACTTTTTTCCAGACAAACAGAAGCAGCATCTTGGGCCATAATTCCTTCAAACTCAGTAGTGAAATTACAACCTCCTCAACAACAAGGGACCAGATTTTAATCAAAAAATAGGGAAGATAAAATAGCTGTTGTGCTACGTGATAAGAAGCTAAGCTCTCATGTTACGACACTGCACCTTCTTGAAGAAAACAGAGCTTTATTTCAAATGCCTGAACCCTAACAGAAATTGTTTCCATGGTTTATCTTGACAGAAATAACGACAACTGATGTTTTCCTTATAGGAAGAATGGAATGTAAGATGAAACTAAACAATGTTATATCCTGAAGACAATTATTTTACATTGTGGTGAGTGGTTATGTCTAAATTGTCTGTTGCACAAAGTGACTAACTAGAGATTCTGAATCTTGACTGGGCAGTCTGCAGGATCCTGAGCTGTTCTGCTGCTGCTCTGTAAATTCAGGGTCACTTATAAAAATGACACATCATTGTTATCATCACCGATACAAGACTTGATCAAGTTATATCAAATTAACATCCAGTTTTGAATTGCACTATTAGGCATAAGCATATTAGACTTTTATAACATAGTACCAAAAAATTAGACTATTATTATGTGTCAACAGTTTGCATGTATTCTCAGTAAAAATGCAGATAAAAATGTTGTATTTAACAAACACTGAAACTGTACATCCTTTTTTATTATTATAATTTATTCTTTTCGTAATTTACTTTACCAGCGTTTTCACACAGCTTTCATACAGTACCTGCTAACTTCTTATGATAATACTAGGTATTTTCAGGGTAGACTGGAACTTTTCTGAACAGTTTAAAAAATCTGCCTAAACAAACAGTTGTCTTTCACTTAATTTTTTCCAGAGAAAACCTAAGGTTTGTATTAGCCTTTCAGAATTCTTAGTTCACTTTAACAATAGTAGTTAAATGCACATCACATACTGCAGCACATAATCAAGTTGAGAAAAGAAGAAATGCTGAAATACTTTTGCTACATGTAGAGCAATAACAATGAGAAAAATGGATATTATCAGATTGGTCACATTCTCAGTCAGGAATGTGTTGCATCCTAAGGCAATATTTTCAGGAAAGGAAAAGTACAGTACCTGTAAACTGGAATCTCCAGTACTGTAACATGCCTGTCTGAAAGAAGTTCTAGGATCACTGCCAGAACTACAACTGGCATGAAATCATATTCAAACCTTAGTCAACGCATTACAGACTGAAACATCTAGTTTGCAGTCAGGGTTGAACTTCCATGATATGCTGACAACGAGCTACACCAAACTGCTACAGGCCAAAGAAAGGAGACAGGATGATCATACCATAGTCTCCCCATCAGACTTCTGGACAACACTCTGTCTTGGAAAGGACAGACATTACAAACAGCACAGTCCAGGGCCTGAAGCATACCAGTTACTATCAAATTCCCCAGTTTCACCTAGGAGAATCATAATGCTGAATCAAAACACGTTTAACTTGCATGGTCTGTATCTGAGACACAGGAAGGCTTTTATAATGCCAACATTTGGTATGTAGGGTTAAAGTCTGAAAACTGTTACTTAAGTTCCCTAAAAAATTAGAATAAATAGACACCACTAATAGATCCCCCAAAAGACATCATTATAAGATGTATGACTACTATATGATAAAGTCCCAGTAAACCTCTGATCTCTCCATTCAGAACTTGCTAATTCATTAATGCTATGAATATGCATAGTACAGACAACAAATATTTAAAAATAAAATAATTATTTCACTTGGTAGCATTATATTACCTAAATGTAAATTAAAAAACCAAGAAACAACAGAATCTTCTATACTTACAAATAGAATTTTTCATCCCATACTGGATTCAAGTTTCCAAAAATAGTCTTAGTTCGCCGCTTGGTTTTGCCAACTTGCACAGTAACATATGGGTCACTTGAGCCAGTTTTGTCCTTAGCCTGTAAGCCCTGAGCACAAAGAACTGCAACAAAAGGAGAGAAATGTGCTTTAGCCCTCACAGCCTTCATTGAGAAATAAACGGGACAGTGACAACAGCAACAGAAAACAAAGCCCTCAGACTGAGGGCTCCTGAAACAAAGCTTTCTGGATGAATTATCCCAGTGTCTATTACTCTGGAGATAGACAAGGCTTGCCTAACTGCCCTTCTGGACTGTATAAAATTTACAAATATGGTTTATTAGAGTAATAAATTCAAAGATTCACCACAGAGCACAAAACAAATAGTTTTCTTGCCATGTATAATTCAGATACTCTGATACTCTTCTCAAACTTTGGTTTAATCAGCATGGCAAGTAATATAACGTTGTTGTATAACTTGGCTTGAGCCTAATAATTCCCTAAAATTTCCATTTCCCGCCACAGGTAAATAAGTAAAAATTTTTTTTTTTCAAAGATACAAACTAAAATTTCCAAAATAAAACCTGCACTGCAGATTACGAAACTAAACATGAGGGGTATGGTCATGACTCCGACATTTGTTTTCCTCATGTGAGAGATGAACCATAAGGATTTTCAGAATACTTTCTATTTTGTCACAGGGTGACAGTTCAGATCAATTACCATTAACTTGTTATGTATTGTCAGCCTTTCTGACAGTTAATGTGGGTGTATAGTTAATGTATATGCGTTTTGTGGCAAATATAAATACACACAATTTGATTTTTCATCATAATTCATAAAACTGGAAATCTCAGGAGAAAGCAGAACTGTCAAATAGCAGCCTACCAAACCCAGAGAGCTGCAGCCAAAACACTTGTCGTGGCTTGTAGCACCAGCAGAGCTTGGTTTTATTGTTTTGCACATATGGTTTAAACTATCTCAGTGGTAAAATCTGGTTAACATTCTCTAATGTCAATTACTTTGGATAACAAAGCTCTCTCAGTGTGCTCAGAAAAATTATTACATAAAAATGGCCCCTTCTTACTCAGCAGACCAGCTCCCAGTGTGGGTTCAGTCATATCTGCCAACTTCAGTGAAAAAAATTAAGTTTCTGTTACTTTTTTTTACACATCTCACTCCCGAGAAGACTAACTCTTAGGAATGAATTAACATGTTTTGTTTTCCCCATTCACTGTAAATCTAGAGGGAAATTTTTAGAAGGCAAGGAAGTATCTCCTATTTATGAAGAAGAATTAAGTGCCAGCTTAGAAAATGTCTTCCAGAATTGCTAAAAATTATACTGGCCTGAATACAAGGCAGCATTGAGTGTCCTTTAGAGGCAGAACTAAAAGTAAGAATATGAATGATATATTTTCTCTGACATACTGCTCCATGTCCCCAGTGCTTAGTGACAATGCCAAAATTCAGCAACTGTTCTTTGGAGTTTCATGCACTGTCCCATAACCTTCACAATGGCCTCCCTTTTTCCTAATTCATCTGACTCTCAATCTCAAATTTTCCCTAGATTTTTTTGGCGCATATCTGCTATTCTTCAGCTCCATGTACAGTTTACATACTGCCGCAAATGTGATCGGGCTTTAGTTTGGACTACAGAGCCACACGTAGCTAAAAACACACCTACCAACTTCACTCATGGTCCACGTGACAAATGCTATTCTCCTTCCCCTCCTGAATGCCAGCTTTACACTTCAGCAACTGAAATGGCAATTCCATCTCTCAATGACCCTTCCCTGATATACAAAAAATTTGCTACGGAATCTAAAAGTACCATACTAAAATTTTTTGAGCATGCAACCCAAATACATTTATTTACGTATTACACACATGTGCCACTGTACTAATACACTATGCACATTGGGGCACATGACATAGAAGGAAAGGCTAAGGGTTTCTTATCCTGGAAAAAAGGAAGGCTAAGAGGAGATCAACCTAAAGATCACATCATAGAGACGATGAGCTCCCAGATGAGCCCATCTAGTTGAGGATGTCCCTGCTCGTGGCAGGGGGGTTGGACTAGTTGACCTTTAAAGGTCCCTTCCAACCCAAACTATTCTAGGATTCTGTGAAGCCAGACTCTTCTCAAAGGCACACAGGGAAACAATGAGATGTAACCCCTGCAGGCTGCAGCAAGAGAAATCTCAGCTGGGTATAAGGAAAACAGTTTTACAATGTGAGTGGTTAAAAACTGAAACAGCTTGTCCAGTAGGCAGAACAGGTTTCCCAGAATGAGGAATGTCCATCCTGGGAGAGTTTCAAATCTAGTCTGGACATAGCCCTGAGTAAGCTAATCTAACTTTGATGTTATCCCTGCTTTTAGCAAAAGGTTTGAATATGCTGCAGAAACCTCTTCCAACATTACTTCCTAAATTATTCTATGATTCATTTATTAGGTCACAATTCTGCAGAACTCAGGCAGCGTGAGTTTGACTTCTAAAAGGGAAGAACCAAGCCATTCAGCAATATAAGTGGGTTTTGTACCAACACTAGTAAAGTGATGTTACCCAGCAGATAGAGAGTCTGAACACATAACTTGCTAAAATAATGACATCAACCTGCTCAGGGTATCCTAGTCACTTGTTTCATATTGAAAAGAGTAGTAAAGGACACTCTTGTATTTTTTCTTAACAGTGTGCATGTGTTTGATCTTACAGACGATATACAGAAAATATCTTGTAAAACACATTGGGAACATTACCATATGTACAGGTGTGAAACATCAGGCACCAACAACTGGCTTAAACATACCTTTTATGAGAGCTGCTGTTAAATAGTGAGAAAAATGTGTATATTACTCAAGTATGCAGCATTATTTATTTTAAAAATATAGCTTTTGTTTCACTCACTGCCTAGTAAAAGCTAAAAATAAGTTCCTAAAGTTTATCTCCTTATCCCCCCTAGCAGGAATAATGAAAATCCTGGAGAAGGAGAAAATATTTAATTTACTTTCAATATCAGAAGAGGGCTTATTTTTTTTCATTACATTAAAACAAAATTGAGGCCAACTTAGATGTAAAATCAAACCAGAGCCCTTTAATAGTTCACATAACTGCCTTTAAATTATTTGATTTTTTTTGTTTAATCTCTATTTGTCTCTATTACAATATCACATAAAGTCAGACTGACCTGTGTAGTCATCTGAGCTTTTATTTAGATTTTCTCTGCTGAGGTTTTAATTAAAAAATTGAAAGGTCAGAGGATCTGGAAATATTTACAAGCAACCATCCTAATATAATTGGAAGGAATCTTAAGTATGTTCTGGGTGCGTAGGTTTCCCTGACTCAGCATCACTAAACTGTAACACACCCTTAAGTCAAGCAATAGGAATGAATCATAAGTTTCAAACCAATGGGGTCTGGAATTGCAAGCTGCAGTGTTCTTAGCATTACAGTCCTTAAAACCCATAAATGCAATTATGAACTTTAACTCTTGTAATTGGTAGCAAATAGCTCAGCACTAGAGCACAGGAGATATTGGTAGGAGGTAGAGGAGACACAACAAGACTGTTTACTCATCCTCCTTCCTAGAGCAGTGGAATATAAAGTAGTTTTGCCAACAGTTGCAACTTAAAACTCTTCCAGCTAGCACGCTATAAATTCAACTATTTATAGATACACCAAGTATGCAACTGAACACACAGTTCCAGCTCTAACTACATAAATCTTACTCCCAAACCAGGGGACTAGGAAAGAAAGAGCTCTTACAGCAAACAGTTCAGAAAAAATTTACCTGTGATGGTTATTTTTGCTGACCATTTGGAGGTTCCATCCAAAACACTCTGCTTTGCTGCTTTTGTATATTGTACAAAATCTTCTTTGGAAATATTAAACATTTCCTGGATTACTTCAAACACTTCTGGCCTATTTTTCTCTCTAATCTTCATTCTTTCCTTCATAGCACTAATAATATTCTGTGTTTTATCTTCTGCACCATGTTTGGAACTTTTCTCAGCAGCTCCTGAAATGAGAGAAAAGGTCAATACTTTTATTAAAAAGTTAATATCTTAGTTCTTTTTCTGATCTAGCGTCTCCAGCCAATTCTTGGTACTGCAGTACTCAAAGGAGATGTGTTTCATCTGGATAACACAAACCCTTTTCCATTTATTCTGTGTGATACCTAAAATTATAATTTTTTTTTAGTTTAACATGATGCGTTATACTTCCATATTGAATCAGTACTATTCAGTACTGATCAGTACTGTGAAAACATCTGAACATGTAACTTTTCTTACATAATTAGGCATACTGATTCTTCCAGAAAGGTATGCAGAAGTGTTCAGTAGCTGGGACTCTCTGCTCTGCCCTTTGTCTCTGTTACTAGCTACCCTTCAATAATGCATATGTGAATAATTCTTCAAATAATTTCCTAATTTTTTTTTCTAAGCCAGCATGACATAACAACATTTTAATTCATTTCTCTCTCTCCTTTTGGAGTAGGATGGTAAAAGAAACCATACTTGGTTCATTAGGACATCACCCTC